GGGGAGGTAAAAAGTCTGAAAAGGAACTGTTGGAGGACCAAAGAGAGGCCACTAACAGGGGACCACGAAGGGAGCTAGTGAGCAAGCACATGTGAGGCTGTTGCCTCTGACTTTAGGAGTAAATCTGCAGTCATTGTCGGTGGGTCAGAGAGTCGGGAAGAACAGCAGGACATACAAGGGTGGAGCAAGGACAGAGAAGAACAAAGCAGCAGCTAAGCTAGCTACTCACTGTGTCAAACTTGCAGGTGCAGGTCATCTGCAGAAAGAGTTGCTATCTTCTACATGTGTTGTTCCACCTGCTACTGGCTCCAAAATGAGGTATGTTAAAGATCTTAGGGAGATGGAGACAATGTGGACCTGGGTTCTAAACCACATGAACAGGTGCTCGAGAATGTTAGTGACAACACAGACACACATTTGCACAGAACCCAGCTATGGTAACAACGTCTACATTTGGTCTAGTGAGTAAGATGCCCATGTCTTGTGTCTGAGAGCTTGGACTGGTGTCCCAGCTCTTCCTCTGGCTCCAGCTTCCTGCTAACGCACAGCCTGGAAAGCAGGCGATGATGACACAGGTAGCAGTGTCCCTGCGGTCCACCAGGGTAGACCTGGGTTCTATTCTGCCTCCCAGCGTGAGCCCTGGGCATTGCAGGTATTTGTAGAGTGAACCAGAAGACAATGGCTCTCATCCCACTCACTGCCTTTCTCTCTGCCTCTCAAGTACATGCATCAGTTAATAAAATGGATTTTAAATTGAAAATAGTAAAAAAAAAAAAAAAAAAAAGCATCACGAGAAAAGGGCCACTGATTCATCCGAGCCCCAACCATGGCCCTGTTAAGTCAGACACAAAGTGAGGCTGAGTGGGCTTAAGTTCTTCAGAAGTAGTGGGGCAAAATAGCCCAATGGACTGTTATCTGCTCTAACCACCCAACAGTACTGCCTGGAATTCTCAGACATATAATGAGCACTGGCATGGTTCCTTGCACTTAGGTTACTATTTTAATAAAATGCACGACTGGATGGATCATAGCTTTGAGTTGGTAGTGATTCCTGTGTGACTCTGTAGGTAAAATTGGTCAGGATTACTTAATTTTGCATCCTGTCTAATTCTGCGATAGCCTTTTATGTCCAGCCTTACAGTAATATTTTGATGTGATCTGCTTGCTTTCTTGTCGTAGCACTTCAGTATATTAGAAGGAAGCAATCTGAAATTGCTGTAGTTATTGGTTTCTCTCCTCTGTGAACTCTAAGTCATTTTTATACATTTTAGATCTCATCTTCTTTTAAGGGAAAGCGTTCATTAGCTACTAAAGCAGCACTTTTCTTTGATAAAAAGGACAAAATGCCTTTCATCTGTCAAGAGTCTTCATCTTAAGACTGCGATTATTAACGTTGTTTTCAAAGATGACATTTCCTGTGAGAGATCTCATTAATGAGCAGATATAATCATTCTTATCAAGGGAGATGTACACAGTAGGTGAAGAGAAATGTAAGTTTAAATGAATGGCATACAAGATAGCAATTGTCACAGGCCAAGATCAACCTTTACAAGCTTCTGGGGAAGGTTACTTTTCCCTTTACATTTCAAAAGGGAAAAAAACAAGATAAAAGTAATAGGAGATATCATTCCCAAATAAATCTTATCATAGAAAATTGATAAAGACAAAACATTTTTTATTAATACATTCTCCAGGCCTATACTAACTTAATCAATTAACTCTGGCTGCACCGGGATCCCGTATGGGCACCAGTTCTAATCCTGTCAGTCCTGTTTCCCATCTAGCTCCCTGCTTGTGGCCTGAGAAATCAGTTGAGGATGTCCCAAAGCCTTGGGATCCTGCTCCCACATGAGAGACCTGGAAGAGGCTCCTGGTTCCTGGCTTCGGATCGAAGCAGCTCTGACCATTGCGGCCGCTTGGGGAGTGAATCAGTGGATGGAAGATTTTCCTCTCTGTACGTCTGACTTTCTAATAAAAATAAATAAACCTTTAGAAAATGTCTTCAGCACTGTTCATTGTCCAATTGTGAGCAAAAACTTCTGGAACTCAAATGAGAAAAGCTTCTACCACTGAGGGTTTAAGGGGATGCCGAAGGATGATTTGTTTTTACTAGAATTCATTCTAGGGTTGTTCAATGTGAAACTACTGTGAGGATGAGCACACACAACCCTTCTCACACCATTTTGTCAGGCTCCTGAGAGGGAACAGCTTGTTCACCAGATGGAGAGTCTTCCTCTGACTTGCTCAGTCAGTGCCACCTTCTTCTGCGTCAGTGCAAGTTGTCATAGTGTTCCGTTGGCTTACAGGCAGGTAAGCACGGCTGGCATTCAGGCATAGCTGAAGAACCCTGTAGGCTTTTATCCCCTTGATTCTATTACATGCTGAAGTTTGAGACCAACTTTTTATTATTAGGGATTGAGTAGTGGAACAAATTAGGAACTCAAACTGGTGTATGCATGAGTGAGCTACACATTTCTAGGAATAAAAGCATTAATATGCATCCACTAACTTTTTCTTTACAAAGGTTTTATTTTGGGACAATTATTACAATGTCTGAAGCCTTCACTTTTACAATATTCTATTTTAATGTAGCAAGATACATAATTTGAGATATTTTATATTTGCATCAAAACAAAATGGTTAATGATCACCAAATTAAAACTTTGACTATTATGTATAGCTATAAAAATAATTGGAGAAATGATCATTTCACCTATACAGTAAATTTTAAAACAGTTACAAATAATTAAAAATATAGTAATACAACATTCTTAATCATTGGATTGGCAAAACAAAATTTCACAAAGCTGTTATAATTTGTTAGAATACTGATATGCACAAGCATTTTTTAAAAAGATTTATTTATTTTATGTTTATTGGAAAGTCAGATTTACAGAGAGGAGAGACAGAGACAATGATCTTCCATCCATTGGTTCACTCCCCAAGTGGTAAAAACAGCTGGAGCCAAGACAATCCGAAACCAGGAGCCAAGGGCTTCTGCTGGGTCTGCCACACAGGTGCAGGGTCCCAAGGCTTCACACCATCCTCCACTGCTTTCCCAGGCAACAAGCAGAGAGCTGGAAGGGAAGTGGAGCAGCCAGGATAAGCACTGGTGTCCATATGGGATGCTGGCGCATGCATGGCAAGGACTTTAGCCACTAGGCTGCCGTGTCAGGCCCTCTGACATTTTTTAAACTGAAAACTTTATTGTTGCTATTATTGTTTTACCAAGGAGAACATAATGTTTTTCTGGGTCTGGCTTACTTTATTCAACATAATATCCTCCAGTTTTATCCATTTCAATAAAATGGTGGAATTTCACTATTTTTTACAGTTGAATGAAATTCCATACGTACATTTTCTTTATCCATTCATCTGCTTGTGGATACCACCTTGGTTGATTTCAAATTCTGGCTATCCTGAACAAGATATAAACATGGTAGTATAGCCATGTCTTTGATATAGCGTGTTCATGTCCTTTGGATATACTGCCAATAGTGGGATTGCTCAGTCCTATGACAGTCTGGTTTTTGAAGAGCTCTCCATCCTGTTTTCCACAGTGGCTGCGCTGATTCACATTTGCACTAACTAGATGTGTTCTTCCTTCTCCACATCCTCATGTGGACGTGTTGCTCCTTTTGCTCTTAGCCGGCAGGGGTGAGTGCAGCTCCTGCGCTCTCATGTGCCTGTCTCTCACGGCGGCCGGTGGTGTTGAGCGTTTCCCCATGTGTGTTGGCCATTTCTAGTTCTCCTTTTGAGAACTGTCTATTGAAGGCCTTTTGGTTGTTTTCTGTTTTGAGTCTGACTGTGGTGTTTTTGCTCAGGATAAATCTTACGCTTTCTGTGTTGTTTACAGTACAAAAAAATTATCAGCATTTTGAGATATTTTAATAGCAACTTCTCATCTAACTTGTATCTGCTATTAGTTTCCATATATATGCATGGAAAAGAAAGTGCTACAGGCAATTGTATTCACTGGTCACAAAAAAGCATTAGAAAATACGTACATTGGCATTAATGCTACTCCGACATAATAGGAAGACCTAATAAAGACAGTAATTCAACAATATCGATTTTATCCAGATTAAAAACATCTAAAGGTGAGCAAAAAACATGAGGAACTCAAATGAGAGAAGCTTGCACCACTGAGTGTTTAAGAAGATAACAAAAACACAGTCATAGCTTAATGCCCTGAGCGAAAGATAAATCCACCGATGGAGACTAGTTTAGGATAAAATATTTAACATTAAAGTAATAGCACAGTGCGGAAATGCACAAGCTCCTGACAAGCTTTGTAACTGTTACAGCTTTACTGACTGCTGGTTACAGGGCCCCGCACAGCCAAGACACAGGGATAATTCTCGCCTGAGTATTTCTTTCTTTTTAAAATGTATGTCTTTTTATTGGAAAGGCAAGCTTTGTAGGGAGAAGGACAGATCTTTCATCTGCTGGGTCACCCTCTAAACGGCCGCAGCTGGCCAAGAAGCAAGTAACAAGTGGGAGACAAATTCCCTGCCTCTGCTACGCAACTGGTAAACACTGACAGCCTAGATGGGGGACGCCTTTCAAATGCTGCTTCACAGGAAGTCTACATTTCTGGAACAGAATCCGCCGCGACCTGACAGGCATGGGAGGCTTAGCCCGAGGCAGCCTTCGTGAGTAACACTCTGGCACGGCTAGTACTGAAAGATTTCAGGTCGCCCTTCAACGGCAGTTTGCTCAGACTTTTTTTTTTCTTCCAGTCAGGTATCTGTGGGTTTATGGCCGCGTGCAGTCTCATAGTCTGCCAGAGCTTCTATCAACGTGCGGACTCGTATTTTAAATTCCTAATCCCCGGCAGCACTGCTGCTCAGCTCCATCCGCGTCGCAGCTTGCTTTATCACCACACACCCATTTCCTCAGCCTCGCAGGAGGGCGCGGGAAGTGATGCACAGCGCATGCGCCTCATGCCTCGCGGGCTCATCCGACGACGCATGCGCCAGACCGCTGGCCCAGCGGAGGAGAACGCTTGGGCGGCCGTCGGTGACGTACAAAGGCGGCGCCCTGCTGGAGTGCGGGCTGCCTCGGCGGGAGCGAGTCCGGTTCCTCCACCATCATGGTTCATTGCAGTTGCTTGTTGTTCCGAAAGGTCCGTGCATTGCTGCCTCTCGGCCTCGCGCCTGAGGCCCCGAGTGGGGGCCCTGGCTTGCTTTCGCACGTCCCCCGTTTTCGTTTCGGAAGGCTCGGATGGGAAAGAGCTGGGGGCAGGGCTTGCGATTCTTTGGGGGAGTTGTGTGCACCTGGGATAAGGAAATGGGATACCTTCCTTTCTTTTTCCTTTTGGGGGAGACTTAGATACTGGTGATTTTTTGTGTCCCCTTTTAGTTTCCATATACTGTTACTTTGTTTTTTTCTCCAGTGTTTTTAAGATCTTTCTTAAAAGCGTAATATGAGGCGAATTTTATGTAGAGACGTTTGGGTTCCTCTCTGAGCAGTGCCGGCCGTGGAATCACATTGTGTGAAAGGTTAGAGTTCCATGTTTTCAGTTAAGAAGCACACGCCTTCCCCAGGCGCGCTGGGGAGAATCTGCCAGCGCGTTTTGCCCTAAGTGAGGCTGCTCAGTCTCTGATTATGACAGTGCCCTGAGAAGGCATTACAGATGGAAGGAACTTTAAAACGGTGTTTGAATCTTTGGGAAACAGATGTTCAGATGTTATTGATTCTTATGAACTATCCTAAGTTACTCACAGCATGACAACTGTAAGTGCAAGTAGCTATCCTGAATGGGTAGCCTGAGAGGTTGGTCCACAAGATCTCTGCCTGTTGTAGGTCGCTGATCTAGGAAACCAAAGGCAACGAAAGATGGGAGGCGCGGGGACGGGGATAGTTGTCTTGTCCTGTTTAGAGGTTCAGCATTGGGGATTCGTCTAGGAACCCACAATGTGAAAACAAAAGACAGACCAGCTGCGTTTGGGCTAAACAGTGGAGTAACTGGGGCTTGAGCTGGTGCCCATGTGGGATGCAGGCACCCACTACACCGCAGTGCAGACCCCTTAGTAGATTAGTCTTTGTTTCATAAACAGAGTCATGGATAGTTCTTGGGTAGAGAAGCATGATCAGATCAAACCTGGTTCAGGAAAGCAAGTTGCCAGCAAGATGGAGGGCTGCGTCAAGGCAGAACCAACTAGAGCGAGATGGTGTAGGAGTGGGCAGTGGTGCCTAAACGGGAACACAGCTTGGAGGAATACACAGGCGCGGCCCGAAAGATTTCCCTTGGTGGACAGATCAGGTGTGGGCTTGTTGCTTGATAAGAACAGATCTTGACCTGGAAAAAGTTTTGTTAACATTTTGTTCTTCAAGTGACTTATCTTTTCAACTGATAGATATAAACAAGTTACTTATTGAAAGGGTTTTTTTTTTAAGGGTTTAAACATAAATTATAGATCATGCTCTCAGTTGCTTCTAATTATTAAAAATTTATTTCCTGGTGGAGATGTCAAACGAATGGGACATTGAAAATTTCTCACCTCAGAAATGGTCACTGCTATGCTATGGACTGAGGCCATGCAGGGGAGAGTCTAGAATGAAGAGAGGGTGAAGGTCAGATAACCTGGATGCCTTGAGGATAGATGAGACAATGGTTGAGAGAAGAATCTTAGAAGACATGGAAGAGAGAAGTCAGCCTGAAGTTAAGCTAAGACAAGAATGGCGTCAAGATTTGTCATACTGAGAGATAAGTTGTGGCATAGTCGGTTAAGCTACCACCTGCAATGCCAACGCGCCATTTGACTGCCAGCTTGAGCCGCAGGTGCTCTGCTTCCTATCTAGCACCCTGCTCCTGTGTGTAGGAGAGAGCAGTGGAATATGGTTCACGTCCTTGACCTCTGCCACCATGTGGGAGACCTGAAGGAGGTCCAGACTCAGGCTTTTGGGGCTATACAAGGAGTGAACTAGCATTTGGAAGGTCCAGCTTCTCTGTAACTCTGCCTTGCAAATAAGTAAATAAAGTCTCGATCCCTCCCGCCCAGATGCCTTAAAGAAATTGTAGCAGAACGAAAAGCCGCACGGGGTTCTGAGTTATTAAGCACATGAGCATGTTTGGTATACAGACCTCTTTCGTTTCTTCTTTTCAAGTATGGAAGTTTTGTTGACAACCTGCGAATCTTCGCCAGGGGAGGAAGCGGTGGAATGGGTTACCCCCGCTTGGGGGGAGAAGGTGGGAAAGGTGGTGACGTCTGGGTTGTGGCCCATGGAAATATGACTTTGAAGCAACTGAAAGACAAACATCCTCAGAAGCGGTTTGTGGCTGCGGGAGGAGCCAACAGCCGGTGAGTACTCGCTGAATGGCCACGCCAGTTTGAAGCACTGTACTCCTAAAAAGCCGGTGCTAAAGAACGTCTTGGGCTTTTGAAGCCATTTCTTCTGATGACTGTTTGTATTTTTGCACTTCCTTTGTGGTGACACAGTAATCATCTTTTGCAACCTTTAGGAATCCCTTTTAATAGTTTAGCTGTAGGGGCTGGCCTTGTGACCTAGAAGGTTAAGCCTCCGCCTGCAGTGCCTACATCCCATGCTGACACTGATTCCAATCCCAGCTGCTCTGCTTCTGTTGCGGCTCCCAGCTAATGCACTGGCAAAAGCAGCAGAGGATGATCCAAGTGGAAACCAAGAAGAAACTCAAGGCTCCTGGCTCCCGCCTGACTCAGCCCCAGCCATTGTGGCCACCTGGGGAGTGAACCAGTGGTGGAGGATCTCTCTCTTTCCCTGCCTCATTCTTTGTATCTCTGCCTTTTAGATAAACAAATTTTAAAAAAAGTCTTAGAAAACTGTGTTATTCCATCAACTCAGTCAGTCCCTTTTCAGCCTTCCAACCAGGTATTAGCACTGCTAACTGTCCCTTGACTTTTCTGAGAATCCTCTGGTTTTTGTTTTGTTTTTTGAGATTAAATTTTAAATACTTGCTCAGTCAGTGGATTTCTATGGTTTTGTTTTAGTTTTATTTTAAGCCTTTTTGTATTGTAACAGTGGTCTCTTCAGGTAAGTAATGTCTTTAGTTCGTTGTGAAATAAAATGGCTTTTGTTAGTACTCTGGTAAGTTAAATTTAATACCATTTTTGTGGGACTTTCTTTGTAAACTTTTAAATTTGCTTATAAACGATTTACTATAGTAGATCTTTCTTATTTTAATTTAGCTCATTCTGTTTGTTTGTTTTTAGGGTTAGTGCACTGAAAGGTTCCAGAGGAAAAGACTTTGAAATCCCTGTACCTGTTGGTATTTCAGTAACGGACGAAAATGGTCAAGTCATTGGTGAGTGTGCCGCAGCTTCTGAGGTTGTGAACAATGTGTGCTTTTTAAAACACATTCACTTATTTGAAAGGCAGAATGATAGAAACAGAGGGAGATTTTCCATCTGTACCCAAAAGCCTTCATCAGCCTGTGCTGGGCCAGGCTGAAGCCAGGAACCCGGAGCTCCCTCTGGGTTTTCTTTCTGGGTGGCGGGGATGTTCGTACTTGGGCTTTCATCTGCTGCCTCCCAGGGTGTGCGTTAGAAGCCACTTGATTCAAAGAGGAGATAGGACTTGATTTGAACAGGCACTTAATATGGTATGTGAATGTCCCAAGCAGTGACTTAACCCACAGTGTCACAATGCTCACCCAAGAGTGTATATGTATTCTAAAATTATATGAGATTATATGAGCAAAATTATTATTATAATCTAATTATTATTATATTATTATTATTATAATAAATTATTATTCTAAAATTATATGAGCAATCTCCTAAAGGGAGATTGCTGCAGAATCTTTTTCATGTTAACATTATTGTTGTTTACTTACATTTATTTGAGAGCCAGAGGGATTGGGACAGGTAGACGGAATATGAGAGAGCTCGCATCCACTGAAGCAGTTCACTACACAGATGCTCACTGTGGCCAGCCAGGGTCAAAGCGATGAGCTAAGCTCAACCCAGGTTTCCCCCGTGGTGACGTGAACTCTGTACTTGAGCCTTCATCACTGCCTCCTCCACTTAGCAGGAAGCTGGAGTCATGGGGTAGGATCAGGACTTAACCCGGGCACTCCACGTCACGTGTCTCAGCTGGCAGCTTAACTGGTAGGCCAGAGGCCCAACCTTACAGTAACTAGTTCAACTCTGGATTTAGAAAATCTTTTTACAAATGATATAAAATTGTTCAAAAGTGACTGTTAGATATAAGACTGTTTAAAAGATACAAAGGTACTTATTTGATATATAGACTGTAGCAGCTCTTTTGACCTGCTTGTAAAAGTATTTTTCTAGGATAAGATTTTTAAAGGAAAATCTTTTGTGTTTAGCAAATCTTTTAGACTTGCGAATTGTAATTTCCTGCTCAGTGTTTTTGAAAGAAAATGTCATGTTAGTGTTTTTGTTTAATTCATCTTTACTGTCTTTTTCTCTCTTTAAGGAGAATTGAATAAAGAGGGAGACAGAATTTTGATAGCTAAAGGAGGTCTTGGTGGCAAATTACTAACAAATTTCCTGCCATTGAAAGGCCAAAAACGAATAATTCACCTTGACCTAAAACTTATAGCTGACGTAGGCCTGGTAGGGTAAGTATCCTTTATATTTTTGTGTACTTTGGAAAAAATGGAAATTTTGGCCAGAATTATTTCTAATTTATACTATATATATATACTAGCATTATACACACACATACACACACACACTTTGGGAATATGCTGCTAAATGTAGTTATTTTTCAATAATAACAAGTCAAGATAAATTTTTGTCTTTAGCCCAATGTTTTGACATGTGGAACTTTATCCAAAGACAGCTTGAAAATACGTATTCAAGACTAATCACTGTATGTTTAAAGTTCAGAAAGAAGTTGGACAAATAGCATGCATGTATAATGCAGAAAAAAACAAAGCTGTCCCCATCTTACCACTGGGAAATAACTTAACAGTATATTCTCTTTCACTGTATATGTGTGCGTGTGTGTATGTGGATGTATGTTTGCGTATCTGTGTGGTATTTATAAATAGTGAATAATCAGAGTCTAACAGACTATCAGTAGTAACTTAGGTAAATTACACTGTAAAAGACATTTACCTTATATTATTTAAAGAAAGACCAGTTAGCTATGAGTTAGGACAGTGGAGCATACAAATGAGGCTATGTAGGTACCAGTAGAAAGATCCAGAGCACGTGCACAGGAAAGGTTCCACACAACAGGTGAGCAAGTTCTGTGAAAATAAATTGCAAAGGGAGAACAAGATGGAGATGGAGCTTACATTCCAAGAGCTGGGAGAGATGTATCTGCCACTTACAAGGCAGAACTGATTTGGGTTTCTGCTCAAGCAAATCAAATTATGAAAAATATATTGAGAATGTATTAATATTTGTTGAAGGAATTAATTACTCCTCTATATGTACTTTTATCTGCATTTGAAAGTGTTCACAAAACATTTTTTTAAAGGTAGTTGGCATAATGGTGTGGATAACATTTTGTCATTGTTTAGCTACATGTAGTAGATTACATATATTGTCCATTGTGGCTTTCAAGGTTTTTTTGCTTGTTACTTGAATAACAGTTATTTTATTATTTCTCAATGCTGAAACATCTGAAGTATCTTTAGTATCTAGCATAGGATTATCTTTTTTTTTTTTTTTTTGGTATTTTATTTTCCAGTTTTCCAAGATTATTCTCCATTTATAGTCCTAGAAATTTCCAAGAAATCTGTTTTTTGAATTTGCTGGGAATGCAGAAACAGACAAGTGTTATTGATTTAGAATTTTATTTCTCTTTTCAGATTCCCAAATGCTGGAAAATCCTCTTTGTTAAGTCGGATTTCCCACGCAAAGCCTGCTATTGCAGATTATGCATGTGAGTATAATCTGATTGTGTATTTAAATGTGCAGGGCTGGCCGCAATTTGAACTTGATAGAACATTTGTGCTTCTCATTCATCTGAAATCTCCTAAGGCCTCAGGCAAATTCCTTGCGCTTATTGGACATTTACCTGGTTGCATTTTTTCCTGTTGCATAGTCATTTGCTTTTGTTGGGACTTTGTTAGTCAGCCACACTTTATCAAGCACTGTGGTTAGCGCTGGGAAGGTAGAGATGAATGCTTCCCATTCATTCTGCAAATATTTGTTTCTAGAAATCATATGAAGTTCTGAGCTTAGAAAGTCGGATGTAGCAGAAATCGCTACCACGCTGGTTTTTATTGTGCTTACAAACTAGTGGTGTTGGGCCAAATATCACTAATAAATACAAGGGAATATGAGTGGGTTTTTTTTGCAACGGTATAGGTGATTCCTTTAGTCTACCTTAAAGAAGTGTGCTGCTGCAATCTGAAGAACAGTAAGTTAATGGATGGGAATGGAGGTGAGGGGTCATTAAATCAGAGGATACAGCCTGTACGCAAATGCTCCGAGGTAGGGAATAGATCTGTGTGTACAGAATATGAATTTAAAGGAAGAAGGGACTCGGGCTGGAGATGTAGGTAGAGTGTGTGTCACACAGAACCTTTAGGGTTGTAAATGATGTTTGCATCTTAAAAGCAGCTTTAAGCAAGGAGTAAAATGATTATCTTTGCTTTCTCAAAAAGATCTTTCTGCCTGTGATGCAGAAAGTGGACTGATGTGGGGCATCCGTGGATCTGGAAAGATCAGTTAGTAGGCTGCTGCAGCAGCTACAAGGATGTAATGGGAGATTGGATGTAGGAGTCAAGATCCCTGCCATCACTGAAAACAACACTGAATAACACTGCCCTGCAAGTAAAAAGAAGTCGTTCTTAGGTTATGTTCTGGTAAGCCAGAGTTCGTTTTGAGCTCATTACTATTAATTTCCTGGCCAGTGTTTGTCAGAATTCACTGGGCTTGAGAGAGAGAAGGAAGAGGAAAAGCAAAAAGTCATAGGTGAGACGCTGGAGATAGGATTTCTAAAGCTTAAGGATAATTGCATAAGAAAAGAAGAGACATGTCACATACAAGTGATGGGAACCTGAATTCTGAGCCTCTCCAGGTATCCAGTGTGCAAGTTGGGGGTGCTTAAAGAACTTGGGGGGCCACAGATGAGATTAGGTTTAAGAATGTGCAGATTATAAAAATCATATAGCTTTTTCAAGTACATTGTAAATGACAAGGGTATTTCAAAGCACCAGCCTTAATTAATTGTTTTCCTTTTAGTTACAACATTAAAGCCTGAACTTGGAAAGATTATGTATAAGGATTTTAAACAGGTAGGTATTTTTAAAGTAAAATGCTAGATTAAGTAAGGAAGTGTTTTGTTTTGATGTTGTAGTATTTGCCTGTTTCTGCAGTGTTAGGGAAAAGTTACAAGGTTTTATTTTTCGGTCGGTAAAATATGATCACATTAATTCTGCTCATTACTATCACAGTCAAATATAAGAATTTAATTTCTCCTTTTTCAAATATAAGTTCCAGTCTACTACTGCAGCATTGCATTTTCTTTATTTCCTCAACTTCTATTTCTTTTCATTGCAAATTAATATTTTCATAACCATAGAGGGTTATTGATCTTCATATCCTAGAAATACTGTCTAAAGTTCATGGAAATGATTTTGACTTTTCTCCTTTTGCAAAAAAAATTTTTCAATAGAATATTGGGTTCATCTAGCTAATAAAATTCGTTTTTCCTTGATATATGTTTATATTCTATATAAAGCTAAAACAAACAAAGGGAAATAATAGTGCTTAACAGTATATTTAGAGGGACTTCATAAAGTTCAGGGAAAATGGAATTAAAAGATCATTCCATGAACTTGGAAGGATCCTTTTATAACTTAAAATACAGCAGTTGTGCCCCTTAGTATTTACCCAGATAATTTGGAAAAATTCTGTTATACCCACATGTTTTCTAGCAGCTTTATTCATAATTAATAAAACTTATAAACAATCAAGAGTTCTTTCAATAGGTGAATGGTTAAATTGTGATATACCCAGAATCAGCTCTGAACAAAAGTGGGCTGTGCAGCCACGAAAAGAGAAGGAAGGACCTAGTTGCATTTTTCTAAGTGAAGCCAATCTGACAAGGCTGCCTACTCTGTGGTCATGGGATGTGTTGGAAAAGGCAAACTGAGGAGAAAGCAGTGGCTGCCAGAGGAAGGGCGGTGGACGAGGCTACCCAGACAATTGTTACGGTGTCGAGGTGATTCTGAGTGTGATGATGTTGTCATGTATCACAAGGGATAAGTTGTCAACTGAAAATGAACCTGAGCGCAAAGTACGGACTTTGGATGACAATGATGCGTCAGTGTTTCATTCCTATAGTAATTCAAAAGCTGTAAAAGACATATTCATTTTAAATAGTGACATTCTAGTAAAAAGTAAAAGCAGTTGTATATAATATTAAATTTAAAAATTATAAATATTATATAACATAATATGGCTATAGAGAATAATATTTAGAGGAAAAAAATTCTAAAAGTTACCTACATTATCACTGGAGAAACAGACAGAAAGGTCTGACATCCACTTTTTCCCCCCCCTACTCCCTAAATGCCTGCAACAGCCAGGACTGAGCCAGGCCACACCGGGAGCCAGGGGCTCCCTCCAGGCCTCCCTGTGGGTGGCGGGCCCTCAGCTGCTGGAGCTGTGTTAGCTGCGGTGCATGTCAGCAGCTAGCTGGAGTGGGAAGGGGAGCCAGGACTTGAACACAGCTACTCTGATTGGCTTGCAGGTGTCTCTTGTGTCTTCTTAGCAACTGCACTTCATGTCTGTCCTGAGAACGTTGTTTACAGCTAATTTATGAGGGAAATCAGTAGAGGCCCTCTAAAGGAGGTTTGGGATAGGAGATCTCTGTTGTACACTCCACCTTCTCATATGAGGGCCTTCATAATGTTCACACAATTGTGAAATTAAATGGTAATTTAGGAGTAGGGGATTGGCCCAGCTGTTAGGATGCTTGGGTCAGGATGTCTGCAGTTAGGATGCCTGGATTCAGTTTCCAGCTGTGTCTCCTGATTCCAGCTTCTTGCTGCTGTTGCGAAGAGAACCTAATATATAGCAATAAAAGATTCTGGTTTTTAAAACATTTTGGGGATGGCACTGTGGTGTTTTGGATTAAGCTGCTGTTTGCATTGCCAACAATCATATGTGACTTCTAGTTCTAGTATTGGCATTTTAATTCCTACTGAGCTTTCTGCTGATTTGTCTTAGAAAAACAGCCATAGATGGTCCAGTAACTTGGAGCCCCTGCCACCTTTAGGGGAGACCTGGGTGAACTTGCTGGCTCCCTACTTGCTGATGACCCAGCCCCGGCTGTTGGCAGCCATTCAGAGAGTAAACTGATCAGTGGAAGCTGTTTCTGTCTCTGTCTCCCTCTCTGTTTCTGTCAGTCTTCCAAAGAAATAAATCTTTTAAAGATATGTATCGATTCTGCTATAATGATATATAGGTTTTTCAAGGATGCAGTGATGATCATAAACTTGAAACAGTATTGCAAATAAGAAAATGTGAAATGTAATTGGTCTTGTGTTTTTCTCTTTTATCACACTTATCTTTTTACTAGATATCTGTAGCTGATCTCCCTGGTTTGATAGAAGGAGCACATATGAACAAAGGAATGGGCCACAAATTCCTCAAGCATATAGAAAGAACTAGGCACCTACTTTTTGTTGTAAGTTTTGTGCATGCCAGAGCAATGTCGAAATGAGTGGATTGGAATTTGTAGAGGATTTTTATAAATAAATTTGAATAGAAAGTGCAGTCATGTGCTATGGCACATCTGGGTCAGTGACAGACTGTGATGATGATGGTAAGGATCGTAAGGATGGTAAGCTGCCTAGTGATGCAGCTGCCTTAGCTTGTAGAAGAACACTATTTGTTTAATGATGAAATCACCGAAGAACACCTTTCTTAGAGAGGTTCCTCATCGTAAGTAACGTGGCTGCAGTAGTAGGTGTTATCTCACTAACTGTGTTCACTAAGTACAGTCAGGTGGCAGTCAGACATAAAGCCTAGTTTCTGTTTGTAGTAAGGGGATGCGGTGGCATTGTTTACTGTCTCAGGTGTCACTGAGTAGCTCCGTAAGAGTTCCAATGTCCTGCAGTGTGGACTGTCAGGTGCTTCACTGATGGTGGTGGAGTTCAGGATGAGGTTGTCTGTGCTTCCTGTGTTGGTAGACCATCATTTCATCAGAATAGTCATAGTTGTCTTGACACCTCAATTTCTTAAACTTATTTTAATTACTAAATAACTGGTGTAGTATAGATTGAGAAATTACTAGCTTGAGAATAATCCACTTTAGAAATGTAATATAGCTATTCTCCATATGTTGTGGACTGTCTCCTCCCCTCTGTTTTTTTCAGGTTGATATTTCTGGATTTCAGCTTTCATCCCAAACTCATTACAGAACTGCCTTTGAAACCATAATACTGCTTACAAAAGTAGGTTTCTTTTCTTTTTTCTTTTTTTTTTTTTAACTGTTGTGATCTTCTCTGATGTATGTTAGGCTATATAAAATAGCATAATAAATAGAATAAGTGCATATTTCATCTTTTTATATGTTTTATATTAATTAAAGAATTATTAAAATTTGCTATCTGCAGTTCCTTAATAATCACTGGTTCTATAAGTTTTTTTTTTTAAGATTTATTCATTTTTATTGGAAAGGTAGATATACAGGGAGGAGGAGAGACAGAGAGGAAGATTATCCATCCGATGATTCACTCCCCAAGTGAGTGCAACGGCTGGAGCTGCTCTGATCTGAAGCCAGGAGCCAAGACCTTCCTCCAGGTCTTCCATGTGGGTGCAGGGTCCCATGGCTTTGAGCCATCCTCAACTGGTTTTCCAGGTCACAAACAGGGAGTTGGATGGGAAGTCGAGCCTCCGGGATTAGAACCAGTGTCAATATGAGATCCCAGTGCGGTCAAGACAAGGACGTCAGCCTCTACGCTATCACACCAGGTTCTCTATAATTGTTAACAATGTGGGTTGGGGAGGGCTACCACTGTGGCACTGCATGTTAAGCCTTAGTCTGCTGTGTCAGAGTCCCATGGCAGTGCCTGTTTCAGTCTTGACTGCTCTGCTTCCAATCCAGCTCCCCAGTAATGTATCTGGGAAAGCATTAGAGGACAGTCCAGCTGTCTCCTGAACCCATGTGTGAGACTCAGATGAAGCTCCTGGCTTCCATCTGGCCCAGCACCAGCTATTGAGACCATTTGGGGAGTGAGTCAGTCGCTAGAAGACCCCTCTCTCTGTCTCCTTTTCTCAGTCTGTAATTCTGCCACTCAAGTAAATAGAAACTTAACAAAACCTGATATGCTGGATAAAAATCTTAGGCTCTTACAAATCCTCCTGGATCTCTCATTTGGGTGGCAAGAACCCAAATTTGGGCCATTACTCACTGTTTCTCAAATACATTAACAGGAAGTGGGATCTGGAACATTCTGAAATGTGAGAAAGGTGAACCCCAAGAGGCTGTTTAACCTGTGTACATGGCAGTCTGACAGTACATTTATTAACTACAGTCACCATGCTATGCAGTAGATCTCCAGAACCCATCCTGACTCTGTCCCCTTTGATTTGGACTGCATATCTACTCATCCCAGCCCTGGGCAGCACCATTCAGCTCTCATCGTGTGTGTGGGGTGCAGCCGTTCTGCACTCTGCATGAGAGTTACAGTATGCCGTATCTGCTCTTTTTGACTGAGCACGGTGTCCTCCAGGTTCATCCATAGTGTTGGAAGCCCCAGGATTTCTAAAAGACTGTGGAGTAGTCCATTGCTTCATTGTTTATGCTCATTGCTACACCGGTGCTTTTTTTTTTTTTAAGATTTATTTTTATTATTTTTTTAATTGGAAAGTCAGATATACAGAGAGGAGAGACAGAGAGGAAGATCTTCCGTCCAATGATTCACTCCCCAAGTGAGCGCAACGGCCGATGCCATGCCGATCCGAAGCCAGGAGCCTCTTCCTGGTCTCCCACGCGGGTGCAGGGTCCCAAAGCTTTGGGCCATCCTTGACTGCTTTCCCGGGCCACAAGCAGGGAGCTGGAAGGGAAGCGGGACTGCCGGGATTAGAACCAGCGCCCATATGGGATCCCGGGTGTGCAAGGCGAGGACCTTAACCACTTGCGCCGCTGCGCCGGGCCCTACACCGGTGCTTTAGTGAACAGGACAGGGCAGATATTGCTGTGACACTCTGGCTTCTTTGTTTTTTATATATTCCCAGCAGTGGGATTGCTGGAACATGAACAAATGAACGTGATTGTTCTATTTTTTGAGAAAGTTCCATGTTGTTTTCTATGATGTCCATACTAATGCATGTTACCACTGATGATGTGCAAGGGGTTTTTTCTTCCATATCATTTTGGACATGTTGTAGACTTTGTCTTTAGATTTTTATTTGAAAGGCAGAATTATAAAAAGAGGAGAGATAGAAAGATCTTCCATTCATTGGCTTATTCCCCAAATGTGTGCAAGAGCCAGAGCTGAGCCAATTCGGAGTCAGGAGCCAGGAGTTCTTTCTGGGTCTCCCAAATGGGTGTAGGGACCCAAGGACTTGAGCCATCTTTTGCTGCTTTCTTAGACTATAAGCAGGGAACTGAATTGAAAGTAGAGCCATTGTGACTTGGTTCAGCACAGGTGGAGGCTTAGCCTACTATGCAATGACCTACTGCTACTACTATTGCTACTGGCCCCATCTTTTGCCGTTTTGATAATGGTCATTCTAACAGCTGATGTCTCTTTGTGATGATTAGTGATATTGAACATTTACTGGTATATTGTTGGCCATTGATATGTCCTCTGAAGGCGATCTATTCAAGTCCCCCAGTTTAACTCTGGCCCATACTACCAGAAGTGATCTATATATTCTGTGCAGTGTTTACTGCCGTTATAAACAGACATTTAAAAATCCAAATAATCAAGGCAATATTGAACAAAATCAGAAAAACTGGAGTCTTCACATTAACTGATTACAAGACCTCTGCAACAAAGCCATATTAATCAAAACAACTTGGTGTTGGTATAAAAATACTCGCACAGAGCAGCAGAGCAGAATGTTGAGCCCACAGGCCAGCATTGTGGTACTGCAGGTTATGCCACTGCCTGCAGCACGAGCATTCTGTATGAGTGCCAGATCTAGTCCCGGCTGCTTCACTTCCAATCCAGCTCCCTGTGACGACCTGGAAAAGCACTGGAAGAGGGCCCAACTGCCTGTGGAGTTCCAGATCTGGGCTTTGGCCTGGCCCAGCCCTGGATGTGTGGTATCTGGGAAGTGGACCAGCAGATGGAAGATCTCTGGTTCTGTCTCTCCTATGCTATCTGTAACTCTGCCTTTCAAATAAATAAGAATAATCCTTAAAGAAATTATTATAGAACCTAGGTGTAAATTTACATTTTTAGTCAACTAATCTTGGATAAAGGTACCAGGAATATGCAGATGGGAAAAAACAGTCTGTTCAATAAATGATATTGGATACCCATATTCAGAAGAATGAGATTATACTCCAATTATATCTGTTATGTTGAAATCAACTTAAAATGAATTAAAATTACTTATACGTAAGACTTGAAACTGTCTTACTGCAGAAGAAAATGTAGGGGAAAGCCGCTGGATGTTGGTCTCTGGTCGGTGATGTTTTGGGTATGATACCCAAAGCAGAGGCGACAAAACTGAGAAGTGAGATTACATTAAGCGCACAAGTTTCTGTGCAAGAAGGGAAACAAAATGAAGAGACAGCCTGTGAAATGGGAGCAAATATTTGTAAACCATACATCTGATAAGGCTCATAATATCCTACATATAAGGAACTCAACTAAATAGCAACATCCAAGAATTTTACTTTTGTTCAGGTCTCATTTATCTTTGTTTTTGTTTGTGCTTTTGATGTCATATCTAAGAAATGGTACCTTAATCCAAGGGTGTGAAGATTTGCTTCTGATTACATTCACTATTTCTTAGAATGTTGTAAGAAAAACATCAATTATTGGTGCATCTGTGTGGGCATAACCAGATGTCATGTGAGCTAAAATATACTAACACATGACCTAACCAGAAATACATTCTTTAGCTTCCTTTACCAGTTTTGTAGTTGGTGGGATTTAGTATGTTCTAGTAATGTGATTAGCTGATAGGTTACCCATACCATTAAAGAAAGACATCACAAAGAAACTAATTTATATATACTATTGTAAAGTAAGTTATTTATTTATTATTTGTTTACTTCTTTAAAGGAATTGGAGCTGTACAAAGAGGAACTTCAGACAAAACCTGCGCTCCTGGCAGTTAATAAAATGGACTTGCCTGAAGCACAAGATAAATTCCATGAACTGATGAACCAGCTGCAGAATCCTAAAGGTAAAGCTGTTCATTCCTTCAATCCCAGCATAATAAATACTTACTATGTACATAGAAAGCTAAATATTTTATCACTGGAAAAGAAAACTGACAGTTCCGACTTAGAAAAACCATGTGTATTTGAAGAAACAACACACTATTTGATAACCTTTAAGTCGCATTGTAAATGTAATAAATTATCAGGTTTGAGAATATCATATACCCAGTAAGTTAAAGGAGGTAAACAAAAAGAAAGACTAAAGGTAGGGCTTCGTAAACAAGTAAAATTTCAGCTAACCTCTTAAGGAACGTAAATGAAATGTGGGTGAAAGGAAGCGAACGTCGGCATCTGCCTGAGCAGTCTTGGCTTTAACTGACCTGCTCGCAGGCCCTTGACCGTCATTGCCCTGACAGAGCCAGCAGGTCCAGGGAGCTGTGCTTCTGTCCTGAATCAGTCCTGTCGATCTCTGCAGCATATCGCTCCTTGAGGAGAACGAGTCCTGTTGTGTGTAAGACGCAGAAAAATAGATAGTGTTACTCTGACAGTATTTCCTAAACGGATCACTTCGTGTAAAGAAACTTTCTCAAAAACTCCACATCCTGTGGTGATGATACTTTGAGATTTCTGAGACTTACTAGGGAGCTTCATGTACACAGGAGGCAGAGAAGGGCGAGTGGTGAGTGTCTAACATGTTTCTAAGTGGTATCATTTCTCTCAGTGCTTGTCTTTGGAATAACAAGTGGGGAAATTATAGGAAGAACATCAGGAGGTCCTTCCTCCTCTCAAAAAAATTCTCTTGTGTAATACGTTTGCTGCAGCTGTTCTTGAACTAATAAGTTAGTCTTAGAATATAAGCTTTTCCTGATACAACTCTTCATTGCTTAATGTCATTTACTTTCTGAGTTATTCTGTTTGCTAATTGGAGGTTTCGGAGTGAATGTACCCCAAGAATTCACAGCTGTTCCTAAAACAGTGACGATTCCTGAGCTGGACTCTCAACTTCCTTTGGTGTCTGCAGATCTCAGAAACCAAGCCCCTCCTTGGCTTAGCCTGTGGCTTTCAGCCCTAGTGTTCTGATTGATACAAATGCTAGTTCATCCCATTGGAAAGCTGCTGTTTAAAGATTTAAACAGACACTTCTTTAAAGAAGACATAGAAATGATCACCATTCAGCATTACAAACCATCATCACAGTGAAATAAAAACTGCAGTGAGAAATCAGCTTGCTCCAATGAAATGAACTGTTCTCATCAGGTCAGCATTGTGCTGGTGAGGATGTGGGGCGAAAGAGATCTGTGCATACTGTTGGTGGGATCTACATTAGTGCAGCTATTGTGAAAAATAATACGGAGCTTCCTAAAAAACTATGAATAGAGCTCTCCCACTCCCGGAAGTGAAATGTGTCCATGGAAGAGACATCTGTGCCCCCATGTTTACTGTAGGCAAGAAATGGAAACAAACCGAGTGTCATTCTGCTGATAAATGTATAAAGACAAAGTGGCACACACAGAAAGGAGTACTGTTTGCTGAAAGGAAGAAATCTGATTTGCAGCAGCATGGCTGGTACTGGAGGTCATTAAGTGAAGCAAACAGAGTGTGCAAAGACCACATGATTTCACTCCCCTGCAATCTGTAATTGGTGATCTTGTCAACAGAGAGAGTATAATTGAGGCTACAAGAAGCTGGGGAGGGATGAGTACCAAGTTATAATTAGTAGAAATAAGTGTGCTCTTCAGTTGCGTGCCAGGATGACTGCAGATCATGGTGTGTACTTTTTTTAAGAAAAGTACTCTGAATGTTTTTACCATAATGAGATGTATGTGTATGGGGATGGATATTTTTACCCTGATTTGACAGCATACATTGTATACATGTGTTGAACCATCACATGGGACCTCATGAATATGCACAATATTTATATCACTTTACAAAAAAAAAATCTTAAAAAAATAAATAGTTTTCAGTGCCCTGCTTCACAAACCTCTAACATAATTTTGACCTTCTTTCGAAGACCTTGAAAATGAAATTGGATTTGTTTCCTTTCAGATTTTCTGCACTTAATTGAAAGAAACATGATTCCAGAGAAGCTTGTGAAGTTTCAACATGTCATTCCCATTTCTGCAGTTACTGGAGACGGGATTGAAGAATTAAAGAGCTGTCTAAGAGAATCACTGGATGCACTTGCCAGCCAGGAAAGTGACGCACATCATAAGAAGCAACTGCTTAATTTACAGACATCCAATGCACTATCATATAATGAGCCACCCTCAGAGCATACAGTTACAGGTTCCAGAATACATAGAATTTAAGCCTACTAAAAACAGTACTGATGGAATACTGTTCAGCCCTAAAATCTTGTTATTTGCCACAGTGTGAGCACACCTGGAGTACTTAACTGTTAAATGAAATAAGCCAGGAACAAAAATGCATACGATACGATCTCCCTACTATGTGACATCTGCAGGACTGGAAATCATGGAGACACAAAGTAGAGTGGTGGCTGCCATGGCCTGGGGTGGTGGGGAATGGGAAATCGATGCTGATCCACGGATGCAGATTGAGTTGGTATGAATACATTCTGGACAGCTGTTGCACAAAATTGTTTTAAAAATCAGAGTAAGGGCCTGGTGCAATGGTTCAGTGGCAAAGTCTCACCTTGTATGCACCAGGATCCCATTTGGGTGCCAGCTCATGTACTGGCTGTTCCACTTCCTACCCAGCTCCCTGCTTGTGGCCTGGGAAAGCAGTCAAGGATGACCCAAAGCCTTGGGACTCTCTACCCCTGTGAAAAACCTGGAGGAAGCTCCTGTTTCCTGGCTTCGGATCGGCTCAGCTCTGGCCGTTGCGGCCTCTTAGGGAGTGAACCAATGGACGGAAAATCTTTCTGTCTTCATCTGTAAGTCTGCCTTTCCAATAAAAATAAATAAATCTTTAAAAATCATCAGAATAAGTTTTAAATGTTCTCACCACAAATCAATAAATGAAGTAAGGTATTTTTAATTAGCTCCATTGAACTTCTCTGTACATATTTTGAAATCATGCTATATTCAAAAAATACAAAAATTTTTATGTTTCTACTCAGAAAATGGTAATGAAATTGTATTAGTTTAAAAAGTTGTTATATGCTTTTGAAAAATGTTATTGATAGTCTATTGTTTTTCAAGAACTAAACCTTTTAAAATTATTCTTTTGTAATCAAGTGTAACGATATAAAAACACTGGGAGCTAGAACTTACATGTTTGCCAGTTGCGACTAGTCTACCTTAGTGACAGTCTGTGGCATTCCTTCACTTATGATGCCTTCATTGAGATTTTCTTTTTAAATTTTGGAGACTATTCCTTAGGGTATTACTAAAATAAACAATTTATTTTCGAGTCTGGCATGTGCCTGATTATACTCCATGTGCACTAGTTCTCTAGGAAACTAGAGAAACAAAGCTTCAGAACCCTGTTGAAGGAAATGTTCAGTGATAATAGAAATCACTAATAAGTAATAAGCGTTACTTATAACATGTAATAAGTATAATGTTTTGCAGAAGTAAGTTGATATGATTTGTGCTCTTAGAAAGTAATTTTTCCCTAAGTATCAGTATTTTTATTTTTCTGATTTGGAGGAGGGCCGATCTTTGTGTCCTTTTTATTTATTTTTTTTCTTTTTGTTTGTTTGCTTGTTTTTGTTGTTGGGTTTTTTTCTTTTTTGTTTATTTTTTTCTTTGTTTTCATTTTGTGTCCTTTTTTTCTTACGTGCTAGTTTGTCTACATCCTATTTTAGTAAAGAGAGGAAAGAAATGCAAACTTTAAACATTACTAATATATTTGTAAGTCATCATAATTTCTTTAGTAAAAGGGGGAAGATTTGAAGAGAAACCAGAGAGACATTATAATTTCTAAATTTCTGCTGGAATGTTTAAAAATACTTACAAACTGAACATTTTCCCTGCGTGTTATAGTACAAAAATTATTGTACAAACAGTGCAAAAGCATTTAAAGTAAAATGGACAGTTCCCTTCCTTCTGCATTAAGCTTTCCAGTCCTCAGAGGAAACAATAGTTTATGTTCTTACATAACTACTTTCTATGTCTATTTTTACCCAGATGAGTTATTATAAACTTTATCCAAGTTTGGGTTTTTTTACACAATAGTAACAAGTTAGTGAGCTTGAAAGAGTTATTTGTTTTAATTGGCGAGGCAGCAGTTACAGAGAGAAGGAGGAATGGGTGACTGTCTGTCTGCTGGTTCACTCCCTAGGTAGCTGCAACACGAGCTGAGCTGAGCTGAGCTGTAGCCAGGAAGCAGGAGCTCCCTCCGGGTTTCCCATGTGGGTGCAGGTGGCCATGAATGCTTTCCCCGGCCACAAGCAGGGAGCTGGATGGTTAAGTGGAGCAACAGCCACAGACTGGCACCCATATGGGATCCTGGCCCATCCAGAAGGGAGGATTAGCCAATTGAGCCATCGTTCTGGGCCCATGTTAATGAGCGTTAAAAAGTTCTGCCGCTTAAAACTTCTTACCATTTATTTTGGAATTTAATGCCTACTGAAGTCTTTATAGAAGGCTTTTTTTTATTCTTCTGTAAAGTATTGAATTAAAATTGTACTGGGCTTAAATTTCTTATAATTTGGCAGTGTGATTTGATTACAAATGTTTCACCTTACTCTCTGTCTTTCCCCTCACCACTCGCACCTCTGCTCCAGTCCGCACACTGGCTTTCCCTGTCTTAGTCTCTTTTCATCACACATGTGCTTGCTGAGCGGCTCCTGAGTGCCTGGCAGCATGCAGGGTGCTGCATAGACGGTGGCGAGGAGGATAGACAGGCCCTGCCTGCCTCTTGGCTCTCATGTCCTATAGCAGAAATGGCAGGGCTTGGAGTGACCTGGCTCCAGGTCACAGCAGCGGCCTGGATCGAGAACAGCATTTGGAATTTGGACTTCAGAGTGACCACGTTTCATATTGGCTGGGATTTCTGTGTGTAAGTTCTGTTTTCTTGTTCAGTGTGTATTTCTTACATAGAAACCAGCAGCAATGGAAGGATTAGTTTTACAGGGCAAACTAAAATGTTCTGACGTCATGGTCTCTGTGTTGTGGCCAAGGATGGTGTTTGTGTGTTGGAGAAAGCGTTTTTTGTTTGCTGTCGGTAATGCCCAGGGTTCCACTGCACAGTTCACTGGAGCGCCTTGTTTGGTGACTCATTGAAATGTTCCATGTATTTTCCTAGTTACTGAGAAAGCACTTTGTGTACCTTTTCCAATCTTTGATTTTTTTTTTATTCTAACAAAAGGAAAAAAATCCAAGTTGTTTTGATGTTTTATTTTTTTTAAAAAATTAGGGGCCGATACTGTGGTGGAACGAGTTAAGTTGCCAGTTGCAATACAAGCACCCCGTACTGCAGTGCTAGTTCGAGTCTTGGGGCTGCTCTGCTTCTGATCGGACTCCCTGCTAGTGCGCTGGGAAGGCAGTGGATGATACCTCACGTACTTGGGTCCCTGCCGCCCACGTGGAGTTGTCTGCTCCTGCTTCATCCTGGCAGGACTGGCTGCTGCTCTCTGCCAGTGGACCAGCAGGTGCGTTACTCCCTCCCCTCCTTCCACCACGCCCAGCTGCTTCCTCTGCCTTCCCTCGCCTCCTCTCCTTAACACTCTGCCTTTCGAATAAATAAATAGATCTTTGTAAAAAACAATGGCCAAGTTTAAGATGTATGTCAGTATATGTGTATGAACTATATGTATCCAAGTTTATAATTAAGAATATACATAAGTTTGCAAAGCTTATTTTGACTCAAATCTTTTAACGTTATCATATGCATTTCTTTATTAAAAACTTATTTTGCCTTTCAAAATACTTTTTAAAAATATATACTGGTTAGAATATTTAATTGTTACATTACTGAATAGCCAGAGTATCAGTATACTATGTAGAACAAATATTACTGATTCCCATTAGTACTTGCTGTAAATTTATGCTGTCATGAAATACAAGTTATTACCAGACACTTAAATACTAGGTGTGTTGTGCTGAGAAGCTAAATTTGTGCTCTCAGTATTTTATCTACGAGCAAACAATTGCAGTGTGCTTATTATATCGTGCTTTGGGTGATGCATGGTCGGGCATCACTTCACAACATGTGCATTCTGAGACATCTGATGTTGCCCCGGTCCAGCTGCAGCTGTTACAGGCATTTGGGGAGTGAGTAGTGGATAGAAGGTCTCCCTGTCTGCCTTGCACAAAGTAATAATACCAGTTACTGTTTCAAAGCAGTAGGGTAGGTCTATTTATAAACTTTTAACATAAAAATGCAAATAAGCAACACTGTAAATTCTAAACCTGCATAAATGGCATGTAATTGCAAAAAGACAGCAGCATTTTAAAGACCAAATACAGTCACTTGAATTTCATGTGTATTTTAAAGTCCTTAAGAGTATCGAGTATCTCAAATTTGAATTAAATTTATTTCTCTTTACAAAATAACCATATGAAACCAATTTAGAAATTTAGTTTAAGTATGTGGTATTGTGTTTGAATATATGAATGTCATCATATTCTGGGAACTGTGCTGCGTGCTTCACATATATTTACTCATTTAATCTTACTTATTTATTTTTATTGGAAAGTCAGACCTACATAGAGGAGAGACAGAGAGAATGGTCTTCCATCCTCTGGTTCATTTCCTAAGTGGCCACAACGGCTGGAGCCTAGCTGATTAAAGCCAGGAGCCAGCAGCTTCTTTCGGGTCTCCCATGCAGGTGCAGGGTCCCAAGGTTTTGGGCCGTCCTCAGCTGCTTTTCCAGGCACAAGCAGGGAGCTGGATGGGAAGTGGGGCAGCCAGGACACAGACTGGTGCCCATATGGGATCTCTCCACATGCAAGGCGCAGACTTTAGCCATTAGGTTACCATGCCAGGCTCATATTTAGACAATTCTGTCTTGCCTCCTGGTTAGTTACATTTTTCAGAGAGTGATGTGTACATGCATTGTTTTTTTTTTTTTAAAGATTTATTTTTATTATTTTTTCATTGGAAAGGCGGATACACAGAGAGGAGAGACAGAGAGGAAGATCTTCCGTCCGATGATTCACTCCCTAAGTGAGCGCAACAGGCCGATACTATGCCGATCCGAAGCCAGGAGCCTCTTCCGGGTCTCCCACGTGGGTGCAGGGTCCCAAAGCTTTGGGCCGTCCTCGACTGCTTTCCCAGGCCACAGGCAGGGAGCTGGAAGGGAAGTGGGGCTGCTGGGATTAGAACCGGCGCCCATATGGGATCCCGGGCGTGCAAGGCGAGGACCCTTAACCACTTGCGCCACTGCGCCGGGCCCCATACATTGTTACTTAAGTGTTTTTGAGATTATAAAATCCTTAATACCTTTTTTAATTAATTTGAGAGACAGAGAACTTCTATGCTGATTTGTTCCACAAATGGCTGGGACTAGGCCTGCCAATCCTTGGAGCTGGGAACTCAGTACAGGGCTTCCCTGTGTGTAGAAGACTCTCCAGGTACTTGAGCTATCACCTCTGGCCTCCCAGGGTCCCCAGAAGCAGGAACTGAGTCCCAACACTCTGATAGTGATGCAGGCATCCTTACCGTGTCTTAAGCCTAACACCTTCCCTAGTATTTCAAAATTTTAGAGAAAGACATTAAAATGTATACTCTTTAGAAAAGTTTATAATTTGGAAAATAAGCCAGTGAAATAAACAGAGTTGACATAAAATGCTGGCAGACAACACCCTCTAATTTTTACCACAAAATTAATAGTAAAAAATATGGGTTTTTGTTTGTTTGTTTTTGTTATTTTTCTTAAAAGGACATTCCCGGGCCTGGCACAGTGGCCTAGTAGCTTAAGTCCTTGCCTTGAATGTGCCGGGATCCCATATGGGTGCTGGTTCTAGTCCTGGCAGACCTGCTTCCCATCCAGCTCCCTGCTTGTGGCCTCAGAAAGTAGTAGAGGACAGCCCAAAACCTTGGGACCCTACACCTCCAGGGAGACCGGGAGGAAATCCCTGGCTCCTGGCTTCAGATTGGCACAGCACCGGCTGTGGCGGTCCCTTGCAGAGTGAATCATTGGATGGAAGTTCTTCCTTTCTGTCTCTCCTCCTCTCTGTATATCTCATTTTGCAATAAAAAATTAATCTTTTTTTTTTTTTTTTTTAAAGAAAGGACATTTCCCATCTCCTATTTTCTGAGCTTGGGAAGTATAAGGAAGGCATCGGGTAAGGTAATCTCTTTAGCTATGTATAGGTGTCACTAGCCACTTAGAGGAGAAATCAGAGATATTAGTGATGTCAAGAGAAGAGAGGAAGGAAAAATAGGACTGTTGAAAAATTGTGCTTCCGGCTAACCTAGCAATAGCACGTGGGGCATTCCTGTAGTTGAGAAGCCAGGGCAACTTTATCCACCCGCTCTAGCCATAATTGACTGCTCATTTTGGGAATTCTAGTTTTAATTTTTTTTTCCGTTTCTCACCATAGGAAAGTTGCTTGATTAATACTTATTAGATGTTTGGAAGACGTCAGAGGAAGTAATTATCTTAGCATATATTATTAATGTGTTTATAATAGAAATTAAGTTCTTTGGGATGCCCAGCTACTGAGCTATGTGAAGCATAACTAGACTGAATCATGTCCTTTGTAATTCTTGGAATTTGAAGAGCAGGAAATGTAGTTTATATTATATTTAATTTTGGAGCAATCTGTGGTAAGATAGTTTTTTCCTATTTTGTAATCTCTATCTCTAAGTGCATTGAAGGTTGAAAGCAGAGGACAGAAGCTTCCTTTGTTCATGGCCCAAACTTCAATGTATTTTTCTGAAATTGCCAATATCTTCTAACTACTGCCTTCATTTTTATTGGTTATCAAACATTATTTTTGGTATTATTTCTATATGAAAGGCTTTAAGAACACTGTGCTATAATTTTCTCATATTTTGGGAAAGGACACAATTGCAAAGCTAAAATATACTTTCTATTTTATTTGTATATGGCTTGCTGCAAATTGAAGGAGACTGAGAATATTTTAAATCAAGGACAAACATTCAGTAAAAGCTCATGACTTTGGATAGATTTGAAACATGATTAAATGATGGAGTATATAAAAGCCTCTGGCCAATAATTGAGCCTGAGTCTCAAAAACAAATCTTTCCAGGAAGTGATAGCATTTGGGGTCAAGAGAAATTGAAAGAAAATATGAGCACAGGTAGCCTTGCCTCTAAAAATATGAACCAGAAAAACTAATCTGCTTCAAAGAATCGTTATTGCTACAATGCTAGATTTGTAATGTACATTTGTTGCATCAGTTGAAATGCAGTTTTCTTTTAAACAACTGCTTAAAAAACAGTGGTGCTGGAAGAAGAAAGTGGCAAGGATTGAAGGCACGAAGATTTACTCTGCCTTGGTTATCTTTCTTAGAGGCCCATTCTGTAGTGTCGAGCTCCTTTTGTCTCTTTCTCCCTGACTCCCCCACAGTAATTTTATTAACAATTATCAGCAAAAAGTGCTGTCATCCTACTTGTTGGTGATGTACTACAGAATCCCAGAGGTTTTCAAAAGTGCTACTTCACCACTCAAATTGCTCAAAATTCTTTCAATGTCAATTTGCAAGGGCTGCCGTAACTACGTACTATAAACTGGGTGACTTACTACAAAATGATATCCTCTCAGATGTTTGCACCTTGGGTGATGAGAGGCTGTCCCACAGGCCTCATGGAGCTTCTAATGGCTTGTTGACAGCACTGTCCTTGCTTGGCTTGCACCAGGAAGGCTCTTTAGAAAGGTCACGGATACAGGTTATTGTTTCCTTTGATGAGGAGAGGCTGGCGTGGAGGATGAGAAGCAGAGTAGCAGCCGCTGTCTCGTACAGCTGAGTTCCCAGTGGAAGGGAAGACATCCTCCTAGTGACACTATGGAGGTGGCTTGAGAAGATGTCCTTTGAAGAAATGGGGAAGTTTCTGAGCCCTGAGGCAGCCCAAGTGCTTTAGGCCATTCCAAGCTGTAGAGTTCTCACTCCCATCCCATTGGAGGGAAAAGAGGGGGTGAGTATTAGCATCTATACTTTGCTGGGAAAAGCAAAGGGCCTTCTGTGATGCACAGAGCTTGGAGAATTGGGTGTGTGGAAGGCCAAGAAGATACTGAAAGTCTTCAAAGAGCAACTTCACAACTTAAAGCCTTCTTCCCAGTAGTGTTAACTCTATTTTTACGGAATACCATGCATAACTGATGTGTTATTTGGAGGTGGAAGGGATGGGATACAGAGGAAGGAAAATGAATTGTATCATTTTGATTAAAATTTGGGGCCTGATTGAAGAAATGGTGAAACAGTGCAAAGAAAACTGTTGATTCAGTTCTATGTCCAAGATATTTTACCTTTTCAAAAAATGTCACTGGCACCATTAGGGTGCAGTGAGAGAGTGTTTGAAGCTCTGGATGCCTGAAACTTGTAAGCAAGGTACTGCATTCCTGAACTTAGTGCTGTTTTCCACAAAAGATTAAGCCAGTTTTTAAGTAATCAGAGCTGCTATTTTGGAGACAGAAGCTGGGAGAGAAGGTTTTTATTGTCGAGCACACATAGGTTGAAAATTCTTGCTATCCTATTTCTTTAAGATTTGTTTAATTTTTATTTTGTTATTGGAAAAGCAGATCAGATTTATGGAGAGGAGAGAGATACAAAGATCATCTGCTGGTGGATGCAATGGCTAGAGCTGAGCTGATCCAAAGCCAAGAATCAGGAGGCTTTTCTGGGTCTCCCACATGGATGCAAGGTCCCAAGGCTTTGGGCTGTCCTTGACTGCTTTTCCAGGTTACAAGGAAGGAGCTGGATTGGAAGTGGGACAGCTGGGATATGAACCAGTGCCCACATGGGATCCCTACACATACAAAGTGAGGATTTAGCCACTAGGTTATCATGCCAGGCCCATGAGTGCTAATTCTTGAAATTAGGTAAGAGATCCTTTCTTCTCTGACCTTGCCGTTATGTCACCTTATCCATGGAACCCGTTGCTAAGGTATTGGAAATGGGGAGCAGGGAGGTGTAATAGGGAGGAAAAAAGGGGCATGCTCTTAAGGTAGTGGATTCTTGAAGCCTCTGATTTTATTTGTGGCTTTCAAACTTTGAGCTCTGAAGCCAAGAATGACAGGGTTCAATCACTGACAGCTCAATGGCAGCTATTCAAGGGCCAAATGATTTCAGAAGCCCCGGCCTCAGGAGAAGACTTGGCATTCATACTTGGAATAGGGTTTACCCTAGAAACCAAATGATTTATTTTAATCCTAAGAACTTTTACTCAAGGTATTCCATCTTGATTCATGAGACCCTAGACCTTCATCTAGAGCTAAATTGCAAAAAGATTTATTTACTTATTCATGTATTTTAAAGTCAGATATACAGAGAGGAGAGACAGAGAGGAAGATCTTCCATCTGATGATTCACTCTTCAAGTGGTCACAACAGCTGTTGAGTCGATCCAAAACCAAAAGCCAAGAGCTTCTGGGTCTTCCACACACAGTTGCAGGGTCCCAAGGCTTTGGCCGGTCCTCCACTGCTTTCCCAGGCCACAAGCAGGGAGCTACGTGGGAAGTGGAGCAACTGGGACACAAACCGGTACCAATGTGGTATCCTGGCTCACTTACAAGGGGAGGATTAGCTAAATGAGCCACTGCCCAGGCCTTGTTTTACTATTTCAAATTCAACACCAACAACCATAGAGAATTTGAAGGATAGTACAGTGAGCACAAGTATATACTTACTATCCTATATTCAAGTGTTGGCAACATTTCCTCTACCTGTCCTGCTGGCATCTGAACTGTCCACCTCACACCTTGATCAATACGGGGTAGTGGGGACAGTCAGCAATCAGAAATGTTGCTAACCTTAAGGGCAAGTCACATTGAATAGAAGATATTTACTTGCATACCCAAATCCAGACCGTTCTTAGTTTTGTTTGGCTTCGCCTTTGTGTGTGTGGTGGTGGTAGTGGTTGTGGTGGTGTTTGCTTCGTTTACCAGTGGAGGAAGGGAGGAGGTAGGTCAGGGACGCGGGTCACAGGATGTAGCGGACTGCGGCGGCCCAGTGCATTGTGGGAGTTGTAGTTCCCGGCGTGCAGGGCATTCCCTTTGGGAGCCCGGGAGAAGGTGCCTGCGTTCCCAGAAGCCTCCAGTGCAGCTTGCCGGGGCAACGCACTTCCTGAGACTGTGAGGGAGACGCTCGGAGACGGTGCTCGGACCGGGCGAGTGGTCTACCCCGGTGTGAGGAACAGGTAGGTCTGGTCCCGAGGGCGGCGTTTTTTGGGGGTAGGGGCGACTTCTGTGTCGGTAGTTGAGGTAAAATAGCTGAAGGGAGGAGCTTGGCCGGGAGAGGGCGGCTTTGGAAAATACCGCCCCCATCCCGGTTTGTGGTCATGGAAATCGGGTGAGCACCGAGGTACTTGCTAAAAATACTAAAAATAATGCCCGTTTGCGGGGGGTTGCGGCTGTGTCATGCGGGGCCGGCCCGGAGTACGGCGGGGGCTGCTATTTCGGAAGCGGCGCGCTGCTGCGGGTTGTGTAACCGTGATGCCCTGCCCGCGGCTCGCACCTGCTGCCAGCTGCGGGGGGCCGGGTCCCCGGGGGCGGCCTCTTTCCATGGCTCCACCCCACCCCAGTTTTTCTTCCCCTCTTCATGTTTTCCTGTCAGCTCTGGTGCTTCTGAGGACACAGCTCGGAAGGAGGGCGGGTGGGGGGCGGGGAGGGCTGCCCTGGAAGCTTGCTTGGCTGTCTCGGGAGGCACAGGTTCCGTGGTGCTCCAGGCCTGGGAAATGGGTCCGCCACCATGTTAGAGCAAGGCCAGGCTTGGGGTCTCCCCCTCTGCACCCCCTGAGATTAAGGTGGCTGCCCTGGGATCCTGTTGCGTGTTGCCCTTGAGTCACTGCCTCTGATTTCAGAGTGAGCAGTTCTGTTTGATTCCAACTCAAAAAGCATCATCCCCTGAGCTTTGAAATCTCCACACACACTGCCTCAGGAACCGACATCCCAGGGCCAGCGATGAGCGCCTTCTTCCGGGAAGAGGTTCCACTCTCATCCGCCCTGCTTGAGGCACATACTATTGGAAGAGGAAGTTGTTGCTGCCTACATTGGGTACAGGCTGTGTGCATCCTTAATCCAAGTGCTCGGAAAACATGCAGCTTTCTGAGGTGGGACCTGGTGCCGCAGGTGTAGAACATCACACCTGACCTCGGGTGACAGCAGGAGCACCAGAAATGTGGCATGGAATCACCCTCTGTGTGTGTAAGATGCACAGGAAAACAAACAGGCTTTGCGTTTTGGTCTTGTTCTCATCCTCATTGTCCCTTATTGCGTACAGGTAGGTATTCCAAGTTCCAGAAAGAATCTGAAACCTGAGGAGTTTCTGGTCCTGGGCATTTCAGATAAAGGATACTGAATCTGCGTACAAAAACATCTTTAAATGATGTGTTGAGCCATTGGTTGAATTACAAATGCTAAAAGCAGAAGCTGTAATTGTGAATTTAAGGATGCACTCGTGCAGATCACCTTTGCCTTGCTTTGTTTTCAATATCCCTTTGTAAAGGAGAAAAGAGACAGTTTCTTTTACTTCCCTGGCAACTGCATGAGGTTTCCTTGCCTTCCTTATTTTGCTGTGCTTGTGAAAAAAATCAAAACACTCATTAAATTTCATATACTCCCAAAGCAGACATTTCTAACCTTATTACTGCTGTCTCCTAGAATTACAAAGTAAGTTATTTTTTCTTCTGATAACTTTACATATGATTAATACATAATTTTAAGAATTAACTATTTAGGGTCTGGCTCGACGGCCTACCAGCTAAAATCCTCACCTTGAATACGGTGGGATCCCATATGGGCACTGGTTCTAATCCCAGCAGCTCCACTTCCCATCCAGCTCCCTGCTTGTGGCCTGGGAAAGCAGTGGAGGACCACCCAAAACCTTGGGACCCTGCACCTGCCTAGGATACCTGGAAGAGCTCCTGGCTCCCAGCTTTAGATCGGCACAGCACTGGCCATTGTGGTCACTTGAGGAGTGAATCATCGGATGGAAGATCTTCCTTTCTGTCTCTCCTCCTCTCTGTATATCTGAATTTGCAATAAAACGAAAATAAATCTTTAATAATAATAATAAAATAAGTTAAAAAATAATTACCTATTTAAAAAACCATTTAATATAGCCTTTTTGGTATAACGTTGTAGAGTGTTTCTTAACCTACTTCTGAATGAATTTGAATTGAATGCTTTGGAAAGTACTATGTTAATTTGGGATGTTTTTCTTATTTCTTTAGACCCAGATCATCTCTACTGTGTGTTCAGGTGTACCTGTATTTCTTTTAAGTTGATTAAAGCTATTTTAAAACATCAGGTACCTCATAGGTAAGTACATCCTTTGATAATATTCTGTTATTATATATCAAGCAATAATGACATTTTCTTTAATTTTTTTCTTTTTGCTGCCAAATTTTTTTTGGATGATATTTTCATGGTTGATCAGGTTGGGAACGGTTGAGGAGTAGAGGAAAGTGGATTGAGACTGTTGTTTCCACATTTTCTTTTGCTTCTTCCTGTATCTTGGGGAACAGGGAAGGTAAGTGGAGAAACCACACCCAGCCTCCCAACCACCTCACTACCCAGGGTTGGGGAACGGCCACCTGATGTCATCCCTGGGTCCCTGATGTTCTGTTTAAGTGGTACTTCTGAAATCCTGTCGATCTCTCCAATCCAAGGATGAGGAAATCCTTCCAAGGTCCATTAGCTGACATAGTCTACTTTAGAGTCTCCATTCACCCAGATATTTGCTGTCAGCGCTTTGCTGGGGTAGTTGATCAATTTGTTCTGTCTTCCTTTGCTATGGTACCAGATGTCCTCTGCAGGCCCCAATGGACTGCCATATCCTTCCTGTGCATCTGGGCATGCCATCCACTGCTGTCTTAGCTACTGAGGAAGCCTAGTTCTGACACATGGCACTCCACAATCAGACCACAAATTCTGTCATTCTCCCCAAAGTTAGAGTTCTAAGTCCAACGGATCAGTTGAGGGGATCTCCAAAGAAACCTTGTCTGAAATGATCCTAGACCTGACTCTTGTATGTGCTTGCCAGTATAGGGTCTGGCTCAGTCTGTCACCCACATCAGCCTATGCACACACTGGTGTTGTAATTGCTGGGTCATTTCTGTCTCCAGCCCCATATCTTATGCAAACCAATAGATATTGCAGCCCAGCCCAACCAAGCACAGTACCCACCCCCAAAACCCCCCACTAAGCCCTCCCCTAGCCCTGGTTTCTGTGCTTTCCAGAATGTGCAGCAGATCTAGTCTGACCCAAATCCCATTCAGATCTCATACATCAATGGACATTGGAGCCTAGTTCAACTCAACTGACCCCACTATCCAGTCCATACTCTTGCCGGCCGGTGCTGCCACCTATATAGGCAGGCTCACCCCCAGCCCTGGTTCTCATGCTCACCAGTGGGAGTTACAGCCCCTATCTCATCTCATCAATACCCCCAGCTGTTGAGCAGAGTAGCAGAAATTTCAGTTCCACAGAGGTGGACCACATATCTGCCATAGAATCTGCCCCCAGACTTGGTTCTCTTGCTTGCTGGTTAGTGTCATGGCCCAGCCTAACATCACCTGTCCCCTGTTCCAACTCTCGCTGGCAGGTGCTGTAGTCTAGCCCTTCCGGTTAGGCTCCTAGAGAATGGTGGTCAGTGCTGGTCCATGCTAACTAGTCCAGCTCCGGTCTCCCATGTGGGTTGGTGCTTTGGTTTGATCCAGAAAAGACCTCCAGTTCCCCCTTCGAAAGTGCTTGGTCTCAGCTCCATCACTTACCTTCAAGTATAGTGGCCTTGTCAATGGAAGTCCCTCAGAAATCATTCCTTACCTGCAACATATTTCCTCATCTGCTTCCCTGGGTAATCCACAGTCCCTGCGCCCCAGCTTAGTCTTCCAAAGCCCAGTATTCCAATGTGGTGGGTGCTGGTCTGGAGCCCTGCCTGTCCACTAAGGTCCCAAGCTCCTGGCATGTGTGCTGGCCTGGGACCTTTGCTCTCTGCCCACTCAAGTTCCAGGCCCATTCAAAGTTCCCCAGGCCCAATTCACCAGCACACCATGCCAGCATGTTAACCTAGGGCTCTCCCCTCCCAGAACCAAGCACTTGTGGGGAAATACCCAGGCTTGCTCTGGCTGCCTGCGTGAGCCCCAAGTTCTCTGCATACCTCCACTGGTATTGTCTGCAACCCCCAAACCTCCCCTATCCCCAAGCCCTTGTGCCTACACAGCAACTATTGCACAATGGCAGCAACTTTTTTTTTTTTTAATCTTGTTCAACAAAGAGTAGGTATGGAGCAGATGTCTTTGAGTGCAGTGGTTAATGACATATTTTCTAAGAACTCCTGGTGTTATCTCTGAGAATAAACTTAGCTATTAGACATGTTCTCTTGTAGCTTTTCCTTGAAATTGTCACTGAAAAATAGTAGTGGGCCTGTGAAATTCTAAAGCTCTTAGCCTTGCTTGAATTCTGTTGATAACCGTAGAAAATATATCCTTTTGAAAACATTTGGAGTGGTATCTTTGGTAACATTTAATTAGGTACCAAATTTTAAACATTATCTCTGAAACTCATTGTGAACAGATAGTCAAATATCAGATGTGAAAAGGTTGTTCTGAAACAGTCATTATTTGATTTGGTCAGTAACTGCTTTGAAGATAAAATGTTGTTATTGTTATGTGGCTATTTGCTGAAAATTCAGGGGAACAACATGCTTCTAGTTAAAGGAAAATGTGCCTACTTATTTATCATTATAAACTTAAATTTCTGACCATCTCCTTGTTTGCAGAGAGGTTTTCTATTCATTATCTCACAACTACCTTATGGATTATTTTATAGAGAAGTTTGAGGTTCAGATAATACAGATGACTTGCTCTCTATGAAAAGGATAGGTTATAACTAGGATTTGGGTCATTGGTCCTCTCAGCAACAGTGTAAGATGTCTACCAGGTGGAAGTGAGTGACCCAACTTCAAATTCACAGCGTCTTCTTAGCCTGCTGTGTTCTCCATCATGCCCAGTTAGGGATTTTCACGAAGCAAAATGATACAGCCCTCCCCTCTCTCCCCTACCCATTGCTATCAAAACATACATTTGATATTTTCAGCATTGTTAACGAAGTATATCCAATATAAAAGAATCAACACAGGAAAAATTAACTGACCTACTAACTTCTATTGAAGTTAGCGTTGCCAAACTTAGATGTGTGTTTCTGTTTGCATAGTCTGTGTTTAGGTTCTCTGGGGTGGCCTCCATCTTGCCTGACATAGGGTTCTACGGAGAAGAGACATTGAGACTTGAGGCCAGTAAGGAGTGGAAGCAGAGACGTGGTATGGAAGCAGTCTGGGTGATGCACATGATAATATGAATTGTTCCAAATGAAGTGAATGGATCTGAGGCTCAAGCAAACTTTGTAACTTGCCTATATCTTGACCATACTGGCATGGACCCTTCAGTGTGGTCACAGACCCAGCAGATACTTGGTTGCCTACTTGGTCTCACATGGGGAAGGGGCCCAAGTACCTGGGCCATCTTCTGCTGCTTTCCCAGGCGCATTAGCAGGCAGCTGGATTGGAACTGGAGCAGCTGGGTCTTGACCCAATGTTCAAATGGGATGCTGACATTATAGGTGTAAGTTTTACATGCTTTGCCACAACTCAGAACCCTGTGTTGGACTTTGAGTAGATGGTAGGAAGGAGTTCTCAAGCTTTGAAAAAGAGGGAAGCTTTTTCCTCTATCTTGATAGCATTTATCAAATCCTTTTTCTTCTTTATTCTTCAGTAATCCTGAATGATAAATTTTATGAATAAGTACCTTATTGGTTCATTTTGCTTACTATATGGCAGTATTTAATAAATGATAGTCATATAGTTGATTCACTGTCAGCATTTGAGCTTACACAGAACAACATGTCCTTTTCTTCAGTCTCCCTGTTAACACATGGGGTCTCGATGGCCAGCAGCCTCAGTGTCCTTTCCAGTTCAGACAGCATGTCTTAAAGATGCTAGATACTCAACATAACAGTAACAGTGGTGTTTCTATTGTACTGGTTGAATGATTGCTTAGTAATAGCTACTTCCTTATCCAGTTCAGTGTCACCTGTGGCCCACCTTTGTGAGTTGCTAATGCTGGGCCCTCATTTATTGAAACTAGAATGACTTGTTTGCCATGGGCATGTTATTTCCAGTGCACAGGAGTAATAAACAGGTGTGTAAGCAAAATATCAGTAAAGAATTGAATTCGGAAGCTTGGCAGGGCAGGGGTAGGAAGGTGTTGGTCTCCTTATCTAATATAAGTAAGCTCAGAGCCACACTAGAGTTTGCAGTGCTATACCACCATGGCAAAATTAATCAATATACCTTCAAATAAGCTGCTAGAGTTAAGCAGGAGAAGTGTTTGTTGTTGTTAACAATTTATATCAAAAAGTTGGGAATATAATTTCTGTATGTCTTTTCACCCAAAAGAATTTTTTTTTTAATTTACTCTTACTGGAAAGGCAGGTTTGCAGAGAGGGGAGAGAGAGAGAGAGAGAGAGAGAGAGAGAGAGAGAGAAAGAGAAAGCAAGCTCTTCCATCCATTGATTCACTCCTCGGTGGCCACAATATCCAAGCTGAACCAATCCGGAACCTGAGGCGGGGAGCCAGGAGCCTCCTTCAGGCCTCCTACATGGGTGCAGGTTCCCAAGACCTTGGGCCATCCTGTGCTGCCCTTCCAGGCCGAGAGCAGGGAGCTGAATGGGATACAAACTTGTGCCCACGTGGGATCCTGGCACTTAAAAGAGGGAAGACTAGCCAGTTGAGCCATAGCATTGGGCCCCATTAGATTTGCTGAAACAGTTGCTACTTCTGAGAATACTGACAGAAGGCAACATTAATATATAAGCAGTAAACTAATATTAATAGAGACACTTAAAGCTAAGCTTGTTTAACTTGAAGACTTTTACAAAGTGGTAATTTCTGCTTAAATTTTGATTTTTATATTATGTGCATATTTATGAATATAGGTATATACGTAAGGCTTGCTAATAAAGTCATTACTATTTTATATAACTAGATTAAACATATAAATAACAAGCCGCAGTGCTTGCTTCAGCAGCACATACACAAATAAGAGTATTTCTAAAGAGCTTTAAGCCTTTCTGATGGAACACACGTCTAAATCAGGTCCTGACCCGCTTCCTTAGCATTCTGCACATGGCCATTTTTCTGATGCTGAACTTCTGGAAATGTGACTCCACCGTTTCAGCAGATGATACGTGCTTCTGTGAAAGATGGTGGAGTCCGTAAGCATCACCACACTGTTTCCAGTGAAAAAGTGTTCTTTGTGCCTTTTTCATGCTGTAGCCAAAAAAAAAATTAAGAGTCTGTTCTGTGGCCTTGTGGGAGCACTTTATAACAGAGAAGAACCTTTGCGTGGTGCTTTGAAAAGTTTCAAACCCTGGGAATTAAAGCTGACCTTGGTTTTTTCATAGTTTGTCATATATAGAAAAAGAACGCAACCTTCCACTTGGGCTGGGAGAACTGGCGGCTGTTCTGAGCGCGTTGGAAGTAGGTTGTCATTACTGCAGACAGCTTTGTGTTCATCTTACATGAATACTGGAAGCTCATGAATCAACAAGTGCTGTCGATTTCTTTGAAAAGCACTTGGGTGAACTCAAGTATGACGGACAGTGGTTTAGTAATTTCAGGGACTTTTATTCTTTTCATTTGACTGACTCACTATGGGTGAATCCACTTTTTGTAATTTCCTTGTGTGTCTGATATGTAGCATTGAGATCCGTTGCTTTTTCTTACACATCCATTCAACAATTGTTCCTTGAACTGGTTGGCATGCCGACCACTGAGATGACCCCAAATGCTGAGGTGACACTTACATGACACATAAAGAGCTCCAGAGATGATAGAAGCACTTGATTTAAACACTAACTCACTGAATCCAAAGAACAGGGTGAAGTAGGTAGTTGTTATTTCCACTTTTCAAAGTAGGAAAATGAGGTACAGGGAAGATCTGTGCGTGGTCCAGGGTTACTCAGCCTGACGGTGAAGAAGGGGGCTGGAAGCCCACTGTCTGCCTTGGAGCCAGCTCTCAGCCACCCCGCTGTCCTGTGCTGCCTCTTTCCTCTCTGCTCTGTGCTGGTCTCAGTGTACACTAGCAGGAGCGTTTGTCGTGTTTGTAGCTAAGTGATGACTGATAAATGCTCTGGTCCCTGCTAGAAATGTGAGTACCCACACATAAACGCGCTTGATGCATGTGTGCTGAGTACTCACTGACAAACACGAGAATTGTAGGTGTGATGTTAACGGAATTTGACATTGTTTGGTTGTTTCTCTCATTAACTGTAAAGAAAAAACTGGTACTATATAGGTGGTGGTGCTGCAGGCCCCAGGCGTGTGTGTGCACTCCGGGGTCACAGGCGCATGTGCCTGTGTACGCTCGTGTTGCACAGAGAGAGCCAAGGAGCTTCTCCTTTGCACTGGCACCCCACTGTTACATGTGTTGCTGACTGGCACCTTCCTGCTCTGTTCTCCTGTTGTCCCCTCATGCATGTCCTCTTGTGTGTCACTCCCTAGTCTGACTGCCAGGACTGCACAAGCTTACCTGCCATGGGCTGTCGGGATGTCCACGCGGCCACAGTCCTCTCCTTCCTGTGTGGAATTGCCTCAGTAGCAGGTCTATTCGCGGGGACTCTGCTTCCCAACTGGAGAAAGTTACGACTGATCACATTCAACAGGAATGAGAAGAACCTGACTGTGTACACAGGCCTGTGGGTGAAATGTGCCCGGTACGACGGGGGCGATGACTGCCTGATGTATGACACGACCTGGTACTCATCGGTTGACCAGCTGGACCTGCGTGTCCTCCAGTTTGCCTTGCCCCTCAGCATCCTGATCGCCATGGGTGCCCTGCTGCTGTCCCTGATTGGAATGTGCAACACTGCCTTCAGGTCCTCCGAGCCTAACATCAAACTGGCCAAGTGCCTAGTCAATAGTGCAGGCTGCCATCTGGTGGCCGGGCTGCTCTTTTTCTTGGCAGGTACCGTAAGCCTCTCTCCATCCATCTGGGTCATCTTTTACAACGCTCACCTGAACAGGAAGTTTGAGCCTGTCTTTTCGTTTGACTACGCAGTGTATGTCACGATCGCCAGTTCGGGGGGCTTGTTCATGACCTCTCTTTTGCTGTGTATTTGGTACTGTGTCTGTAAATCCTTACCCTCTCCTTTCTGGCATCCGCTGTACTCCCATCCTCCCAGTATGCACACTTACTCACAGCCCTATTCAGCCCGCTCCCGCCTCTCTGCCATTGAAATTGACATTCCAGTAGTTTCCCATGCCACCTAATGGGGACTCAGTTGTTAGAAACAACAACAAAAAATCTTATAGCCTCACAGTCCCCCTTGTGCAAGGAGCATTTTTGGACCTACATCCATTTTTCTTTGTTCCTGACCAGTGAAGCCAAATTTGTCCTGTTAGAATGAAGTGCTGCTAGTTTTTATGAGAAGTACTTTATTTTAAATGTGAATCCTTCCTATTATCTTGCTAATTCTATTGGAAGAATTTTTAACTTTCATATTGATATCAGATCAAGTATTCAAATAGAAGGGACCTGTGTTATGACAGGTGACTTAGAGTGACAGGAGTGATGGCTGAAAGAAGTCATTGTAATATTTCAGGTTGTATATCTGTTCTCCTTTTTCTATGACATAATAAATGCCAAAAAAAGAAAAAGCATTTTCAAATGAAAAATTTACCCTAAAAGGGGGTAGAATTTTAACAGTAGTCAATAATCGGTTTCAAGCTGTAAGTTTTTCTTACTTAGCTCTTGGGGCTAATTGTGCTATGTAGGCTTTAGCATGTTGAAGAACCCTTTGAAGTGTCTTATCTTCTACCTCATGTTAGTGTTTAAAAGTAAAATACATTTTAAGTGACGTCAGGGTAATGCTAATTTTAAGTATAAATTAGTTACAGATAGCATTTAATGTAACTTTTTAAATTAATGATTTCATAAATCGTGTTACAGGAGTTAAAATGTGCCATGTGACAGGTTGGTGCTTCCTGGGAGGAAGGGAAATTTTTTTCCAGATACCGCCCACCCAGCGGTTCTCCCGCCTACACACTTCCTAATGGCGAAGAGAAATAAAAGAGCCTTAATGGTTTGGGTTTTATAAAATATGTGGAAGGGGACAAGAGTCTTTTTCAGTGACAGCATTAGAACTCTGCTCTGGTGACTGCCTTTTGAGTAATGGGTGAAGAAGCAAGGAATGACTTTGCCATGAGCTCCTTTATCTGTAGTTCAGCTTCTGCCCCATCATTTGATGATTTCCTTGTGTGTATATTTCTGCCTAGTGCCATAGCAGGCGAGTTAGAGGATGCCTGGAGAGTATGACATCTGATTTTAGCCACTTAAACATTTTCAAATAATTGAGAGCATAAGATGTTATCTCCCATTAGGGAGCAGTCTGATTTTCTTGATGGCTGGCCTTAACTTCTCAATTATTGATTCAGGAAGATATTTCTATCAGAGATTTTTCTAGTAGACAGGTTTTATAACACCAGCAATATCCTGGACCTAGAGAAATCAGTCTACTTCAATTCATTGAATCCTTAGGGTACCTAGCTCATTAGCCTGGATGTTGTGAAAGCATCATGTCAGATTTATAAGAATGGGCAGAAGTGGGAGAAAAATTATGTTGAAAGCTTTCTACCTTTAAAACTATGATAACATGTTAAGGAGGAAGAATTTTTAATGTCTTCTGATGGGGTAATGGTTAGGAAACTATGTTGTTGCTGAGACAAATACTTAGGAATTCAGGGATATTGGGTTTTAATGCTAGGAATTTGAGCTGCTTATTGGCATAATTTGCAACGTGTCAGCATTGTATCCACAAAGATTCTGTTCCTTTAAACATTGCAGATTTTACAAGTAGTAAATTGTAAAACTATTATGCCTCTTTTAAAGATCTGAGTAAGATTCTTGTTATCCTACAGTTGTATGTATATGGTATTTTCTTCTGATTCCAACAATAGTTTATGTATATAGCAACTAAGGCCAGTTGTGTAATTTTCACAAGGCTAGGTATTTTAAGTTACAGCTTCTGGTTTCTTTGAGTTCTGATCTTGTTCTCTCTTTCTTTCTTTCTTTTTTTTTTTTTTTTTTTTTTTTTGAGTGGCTGAGTCTGGATCATTCCAAGACAAGGAGGGGTGGAATTTTGAAATTAATTTTAAGCCTATTAACATTGATGTTGCCTACTTGGCAATTATTTAAATCTCTTCTCTCACAAAAGGTTTGGCTTGAATGATTGCGAATTCCACCATTCCTTTGGCCGTGGTGTCCATAATGTTACAGAAAAGTAGACTCAGCCATTAAGGCACTAGACAGGTCTTAGTCCGAGGAATTGTAAATATAAACATGAAGCTTTTGAGAATCTTGTTTTATAACATCAAATTAGTTATTTATTATGGTTTCATTGGGCAGAAGAAATAACTGCTTCTTTGCTGACTTTTTTCTTAAGTGGTTCAGATTTGCTATTGAGTAAAGAAAGCAAATATTTTTGTTGTTGTTGTTTTTTCAAGCACTTATCAGGCTATCACTGGACTAAGGGGCTATACCTTTTTCCTATTAAGTTTAAAGACCTTTACTGATGCCATCAGTGAAAACAACCTAAAACATGTTAGGCTGTGTCAGATTTGATTTACCCAGCAGTGGGAGACAAATAAATAAATAACCTGAGTTTACTCTATTTGTACATACACACTATAATGGGTACGATGTTTGCTGTAAACTGTAATGTAAAACCTCAAATAAAGTGCACTGTACTTCTTGATGTTTATTAAAAGATGTATTTTTACAAGTTTCTGTTTCCATTCTTTCCCTTAGTAGGTGAAATATTTCAAATTATGTTTCCCAAGTGCGTGTGAATTGGATCAAGTACACTCTTGTTTAAGTCCTAAAGTGTAGGAACCAGAAAGGAATGAGAATGCACGGAACCTTGTTCTGGAAGTGTCAGGTGCCCTCATCTGGTTCTGAACGTGGTCTCAGGAGTTCTGTAGGCTGTTTAAACAATCCCCCAAAAAACACCAAGGGAGGTTGTATGCTGACGTGGCCTTGTCGTTGGGGTTTTCTAATGGTCTGTGATCTTGGAGATTGGGAGTTCTTAAAAAGTCGAGGTTAAAAAAAAAGTGAAAAAAGAAAAGTTGAGGTAAGCCTTTCTTCTGTCTACAAAAATTGAAGTTACCAAAAGTGGCAACAAGTTACCCCAACAGTTCTAACACCTGTGAAGAGCTTTTAGTATGTTTTTTTTTCTTTTCTTAAGATTTTTTTTTAAAGATTTATTTTTAATATTTTTTTTATTGGAAAGGCGGATATACAGAGAGGAGAGACAGAGAGGAAGATCATCCGTCTGATGATTCACTCCCCAAGTGAGCGCAATGGCCGATGCTATGCCGATCTGAAGCCAGGAGCCTCTTCTGGGTCTCCCACGCGGGTGCAGGGTCCCCAAGCTTTGGGCCGTCCTCGACTGCTTTCCCAGGCCACAGGCAGGGAGCTGGAAGGGAAGCGGGGCTGCTGGGATAGAACCGGCGCCCATATGGGATCCCGGGTGTGCAAGGCGAGGACCTTAACCACTGCGCCACCGCGCCGGGCCCGAGATTTATTTATTTTTATCAGAGAGGCAAATTTACAGAAAGAAGGAAAGGTAGAAAGATCTTGTATCTGCTGGTTCACTCCCCAGGTGGTTGCAATGGGCAGAGCTGGGCTGATTGGAAGCCAGAAGCCAGGAGCTTCTTTGGAGCCTCTCACGTGCGTGTAGGGGCCTAAGGCTTTGGGCCCTCCACTTCTTTCCCAGGCCACAAGCAGGGAGCTGGATGGGAAGTTCAGCAGCTGGGTCTGGCAGCTGATAGGTGGAGGATTAGCCAATTGAGCCGTTGCACCGGGCACGAGTTTTTAGTTTCAGTTACACAAAAACCCAAGGAACTATGATAATGTGTTAGCTGCAGAACCGTGTATTGAACTGGAAATCAGAAGCTACTTTAGCTGAGCATCCCCAACTATTTCACTGACCAGGGTAACTAAAAACTAGAGAATCCTTTTATGTAAACTAACTTCACAAAACTGAAACTTGAACCAGAAGTGAAAAAATACACATTTGTAGTGATTGTCCACAGCCAATTTTTAGAAATACACCTTAGAAGAAAAAATACACACGGTATCCTAGCAGCTAAGGCCCTCACCTTGCACATGCCAGGATCCCATGTGGACGCCGGTTCTAATCCCTGAGGCCCCGTTTCCCATCCAGCTCCCTGCTTGTGGCCTGGGAAAGCAGTCGATGGCCCAAAGGCTTGGGACCCTGCACCCGTGTGGGAGCTCCGGAAGAGGCTCTTGGCTCCTGGCTTCGGATTGGCACAGCTGCAGCCTTTGCAGCTGCTTGGAAAGTAAATCAGTGGATGGAAGATCTTCCTCTCTGCCTCTCCTCCTCTCTGTATATCTGCCTTTCCAATAAAATAAATCTTTAAAAAATAAAATAAAAGTGCATCCTACACAGGAGACTGCTTGGAGAAAAGATTGATCCCAGCACTGGGTCAGGGAAGGTACAAGATGAACCCAGCACGTCATCTGGCTGGCAGTGAGGAAGTGTCCGAAGAATCATGGATCCAACTTGAAGGAGCTTCCGCTGGCCAACTCTGGGACAGTTTGGCCTCAGACTACATGGTAGTTATGAAATAAAACCCTTGAATAAAATGAAAATCCATGTGGTCATTCTGATAGAAACAAGAAAAGACATTTATAGTAAAACAAGTACAGAAAAACATAATTAAAACTTCCTGGTGAACGTATGATGGAAAGTAGGACTTTTACGTAGTTTCATGTGTTAGGTGACTTAAATTTTAGAGGAAAAAATACTTCATATGGGCTGATGTTGGCAAGACATCAGCTTGAGTGGTAAAACCTGCCGCCAGTGCGACAAAGCAGCAGCGTGTACATCCAGTGATGACAGTGAAAGGTACAGAATCACATGACAGCATGGGATCCCAAGTGGTGGCTCCCTTTCCATTGGCCAGTGATGTCTTCAGGCTTGAAGCAAACTCCTGGGTTGTCCCAGGAGGGCTGCATCTTTCCCTCTGCCTTTGGCTATTACCCGCTTCCCAGCACACAAACAGCATTACCACTCTGAAGGAGCCTTTGTCAGAGAGGGTCCTCCTCCCTGTGCCCAGTGGATAGCCCTCCACCCTCCTGCCCAGAAGTTTGGGAACGATTTGGATCTTGGGGAGAAAAAGCATACCCATGGCTTACTACTCACAAGATTGCGGGTTTGCTTGTTTTATTTGATTAGAAAATGAACAAACCTTAGGGCCTGCTGTCATGGCTCAGTTGGCTAATCCTCCAACTTGCAAGTGCCAGAATCCCATTTGGGTGCTGGTTCATGTCTCGGCTGCTCCACTTATCTAATTCCCTACCTGTGACCTGGGAAGGGAAGGATGGCCCAAAGCCTTGGGACTGCACCCACGTGGGAGACCCGGAAGAAGCTTCTGGCTCCTGCTTTCGATTGGCTCAGCTCTGGCAGCCATTTGGGCTGTGTACCAGCAGATCAAAGGTCTTTCTGTCTTTTCTGAAAATCTATATTTCCAGTAAAGATAAATAAATCTTACAAACAAAATTACAGAGGGAGAGATCTTGCATCCACTGATTCTCCCCCTGAAATGGCTGCAACAGCCAGAGTTGAACAAGTCTGAGAGTCAGGAGGCTCTTCTGGGTCTCCTACATGGGTGCAGGGTCCCAAGGCTTTGGGCCATACTCCACTGTTTTCCCAGGCCACAAGTAAGCAGTTGGTTTGGAAGTGGTACAGCTGGAACTTAGATGCTGACACTGCAGGTGGAGGATTACCTGGCTATAAGCCATTGCGCTGACCCTGAGCCATTGATAATTTGAACTGCATTGTATTTTACCAAACCAGATAGATACCAAAGACAAGGCCTTCTGTGGAGAGAAAGTTCATTAGAAGGCAGCCAAAGAAGGAGTCAGGAGACATGCACGGATTTGATTCCTGCTCTGTGGGGCCTGGGGAGAGTTTCGGTGGGTAAGGTAGGAGGGAGCTGGGATGCAGAGACGGTGGTGAGGCAAGTTCTAAGTGGAGGGGCTAGGAATCGAGACAGGTTAGCATTGTTGTGTTCTGAGTAGCTCTTCTGAACAGGCCCTTGAGGAAATATATATGATTAAGCCCATTGTCAAGGATAAGGGAACTTGTTAAAAAAAGAGTAGGGAAACTGAAGGATTTTGAGCTTGGGAAACCAGGGGAAACAATTAAAGGGATGACTTATTATTAATATGTACTAGTCTTGCTCCAGGAATCAAACTTAGGTTGAAAACATAACCCTAGTAAAAAGAAAAAAGAGCAACTCTAGTTTTTTTTTTTAATTTTAAAAATGCTTCTTCATTTCTTTCTCTCTCTCTTTTTATTAATTGCATTGCATTATGTGACACAGTGTTGTGGGCACTGGGATTCCCCCCACCCGTCCCCGAACCCTCTCCCCATGGTGGATTTCTCCACCTTGCTGCGTTACCACAGTTTAAATTCAGTTGAGGTTCTTTCATTGGAAGTATTTACCAAGCATAAAGTCCAGCGTCTTATTATCCTAGTGGGTTCAACGATTTCTTGGTGAGACCATCTCTGGTCTGAATGTAAAGCCAGCAAAGCATCATCCCAATCAATTAAAGGCCCTGCCATAACATCAACAGCCATTTGCAACCTTATGGCATTAATTGACATGGTATTGATTAATAGTATGCTGATAGGAAAATGCAGTTTCTTAACTACATCCTGTGACTTCTTCATAGACATTTCAATTTTGGTTTGTATTCAACCTGATTCCATACAGTTATCAGTTTAGGTACAGTACATTTTTTTAGGATGGGTGTGCAGAGAAGTCCCCAATACCCCAGTGAGGTGTAACTAATCTTTGTGTCCCACCTAATGAGGCATGAGCAACTCTAGTTTTAAGGTCATTTTTCCCTCTTTGTGTCTTTTCTTTCCTTCACTCTCAGGTGATAATGTCAGGGTATGCATGCGGTGGGGACCTGACGGCTCTCCACAGAAGTGGGCACATACCAATGAAGTTAGACTGTCTCTCCCTTGCTGGCTGTGTGCGAGAAGGTTGGCCAGCCCGGTCCCTTATTTTCCTGACCTGTTGGCCTGCTCTGGCTACTCTGTGTTGGCAGCTCGAAGGTTCCAGCTGAGTGCTGGAGCCAGCTCGTCTGGCCCACAAGAACCAGCTGTGCACAACTTATTCCAAGGCCAGTGACTTCTCATCCGTAGCCTGATGTTGACCGTGGAGGAGGTAGCTAGGCTTCAGAAGTTGTTACTACCACAACGGAGGGCTTTGATTTCTCTGTTTTCTGAGCGCTGGTGGTTAAACGTTTACTCACACCACAGTGCACAGCAAGCAGGGCTGTTTGCTGAGTTTCAGGCTGATTGATAAAGAAATGAGGAAGCAGGGCCCGGCGCGGTGGCGCAAGTGGTTAAGTCCTCGCCTTGCACGCCCGGGATCCCATATGGGCGCCGGTTCTAATCCCGGCAGCCCCGCTTCCCTTCCAGCTCCCTGCCTGTGGCCTGGGAAGGCAGTCGAGGACGGCCCAAGGCTTTGGGACCCTGCACCCGCGTGGGAGACCCGGAAGAGGCTCCTGGCTTCGGATCGGCATAGTATCGGCCCGTTGCGGCTCACTTGGGGAGTGAATCATCGGATGGAGGATCTTCCTCTCTGTCTCTCCTCTCTGTATGTCCGCCTTTCCAATAAAAAATAATAAAAAAAAAAAATAAATCTTTAAAAAAAAAAAAAAAAAAAAAAAAAAAAA